GGCCACTAACCCTCTGCCACTTGGTCAGTCTTACACTTGGCCAGAATCTGTTGTTTTTTTTTCACTTGGTATCCCCACCCCTTTTGGAGAGACCTTTGTGTGTCCCAGTGTGGGTCGTTCGTCGCGGTCAACGTGCGGTATCCGAACACATGGAGAAAAGTATTACATTTATTTGGAAAATTTTATATATTTTCAGTATTTTTTAAATATTATTTTTACCCGAAAGTAGAGCTTCTTTTAGGCTTAAAAGGAGGCATTCTTGATAAGAGCTTATATACAAATTAACATCTTAACTTTAAGGTTTTTAACAGCTGTAATAAATATAAAAATATACTACTTTTAAAGTCCTATTAAACATTCCGAAAATTCTGTATAGATTTCATTAAAATAATACTTGCAAAAATACAAAACAATTAGATTATAATTACATTTATCTTACTTACTTTTATATATGTATCTATACTTGTGATTATTTTTCCTCTGTGCACTTTTATCTAATCATCTGCGAGGAGGGGAGACCAAAGACCTCTCCCTACCAACCACAATAAAAGTTATGAATAATCTGCTTAATTTAGGGTCCCCAGTCCCGGTGCCTGGTCGCTTCTGTTTATTGTTTTATTCAACCCGAAATAAAGTAGCGGCAGTTAAACTCGCGTCAAGTGCTCGGTTCTATTCTTTGCAGCTCCGCTCTCTGATCCAATCCGTTCTTTCTTTCAATTTCAACTCGAATCTCCAACTATAATTCTATTTTCATTTCCATTTCCATTCTTCTTGGAGCTGTAGATGGGGCGGTGTACGCATAATGGCAGCTGCTTAGATATTAAAATAAATCACCGACTAAACTGGGGACAATAAATCTGAGTAGTTGGGCTTTAAAGTGACTGCCTGTCTCTCTCGAATTGGAATAGGCCCGGTGATCGGCTTTTTATTTTATGTTTGAGAATGGGATCCTCTTTTATGATCACTTCTCCTCGAGTGGTAAATAGTCAGGATCCTGCAGAGGGATCACTACCATATCTCATCGTTACTTAGCTACTTAAGTCGGTGGATTGGCATTTCCCGCATCCTTTATGATTATGGATTTGATTAGTAGGACAAGAAGGATCCAGAAATACACTTCTGGTCAGTTTTATTGTCCTGGAGGGGTTAGTCTATCAGTGCAGCCAATTTATCTGTTTTCATGACAACTGTGTCTGAGGTTTAAGTCTAAGCTGATCATTATATTGAACTGAATAATGTATTTTTTTAACATATGTATATAGAACATATATTATTATTTTATATTTGTCCTAAATTTATATCAATATTATATCCATCTAAGAGTTATCTAATACTGGAGCTATGACACTACATTGTTGCATTCAGGGTTTGAGAGAGATCACATCTTTTCTAAGGGTCAAAATAAGTCTTAAATATATCTTCCCTCTAGGAAAACAATTTATATTATAAAAAAATTCATTTTATTCTTTTAATATTTAATTTAAAGTATATCCTCCCCTTTTATTATTTTTTCTTTTAAGCCATCTCCCTAGTTTCTGAAATGGGTCATTGGCTGCTCTGGAGGCCATACCTTTTTGGGTTTTTCGCCAATTCCTAGAAGGGCATGGCTCGGGTAATGAGAATTGAGGAATTGCCGCTGGCTGGCTGCATTTTGAAGACACTTAAAAAGGTTCGGGTTTTCTTGTTTTCGTTTTTTTTTTTTTTAGTTCTTGCCACATTTTGATTGCATCAATAAAAAAGTCAAAGCTATGTCCGCTGGTTCTTTAATGAGTGCTGAGTTCTGGCTGGCGGTGGAAAGTGCTCCGCAGTCCCTGGATTGACAATGGAAATGAGGTACCAAGTGGCCACTGCTAGTCCGGCAGAAACTGGTGGTTTTATTTATAGCATCTCCTAAGCGTTGCCATTAAAGTTCCTCCTGCCCAGGGTCTCCGGAATGGGGTTCAGGTTGGGGTTTGGGTTGGGGTTGGGCTTGGAATGGGTTGTTTTGGGTTCGCTGCTGGGATCGCGGTTTTGGCGGGCAGCCCAATGCCAATTAATTGGTGGCTGTCTTTGGCCAAACACTGAGGATGAGAATGGGAATGAGGCTGAGACTGAGGATGAGGTTGAGGATGAGGCAGCTGCTGCAGCTAGGCAATGTCTGGGAGCCTTGATGAGAGGCGCCAAAGTGCCAACACCCCAAGACCAGGAATATGGTCTTATGGTGTTACACAGAGGAAGAAAAGTAACTTTGCATATAAATAATAATACAATTATCAATATAAAATATTCAAAAAACCTGTAAAGAACTCAGGTATACTTGGATAATGTAGTTTTATTATTTTGTTACTCAATGTACTTAGTTTTAATAAATTCATCGATGGTTTCAACATTTTTTCTAGTGCAACATTCCTGTCAGAACTCCACTCCCCGTCCCCTTTCCATCCTGTGAGCTGTACTAATTAATAATAATAAAACACACGAACGCCAAGCAGGAAGATGCGGCTTTGGCTCAGGGGTTTCTCGCCAACTCTTCTTGGCCCAACCAAACCAAACCGAACTAAGCCAAGTTTGTGTTGCCTGCCGGCGTTTATTTTTAGACAATAAACCGAGGATGCACTTGGACTCAGGAACGGAGCAGAGGAGCAGCAACAGGCAACAGGCAGCAACTAATGGTAATGAGCTGCAAGCTATTTACAGTTCGGCTGCGGCCTTGCTGCCTGCCACTCGGCCTCAAAGCCACCCATCTCCCCCGAGCCCCACATGCCCGCGCAGCATCCATATTTATGGGCCAGCATCAATCTGACTTAATGCTTGTGCGGCTTGATTAGCATGTCGATGAGCTTGAGGAAGCTCCAATCTCCAAGGCGGAGGAGCAGGTGGCTCTGGCGGTGTGAGTCAGGGCGGATGGAGGGGAATGTGGCGGAATGAGCGGTAATGGGGAGTGAGTACAACCCCCAAAACACTCGTTGAATGGCCTTCAACGTCCTTGGCTGTACATTTTTATTGAACTTGTGTATAATTATAATTTATTTGCTTATTATCGAGTCTCGATTGTGGCTGCCGTCGTGTTGTTGCTACCACAACTCACGTTTCTGTGCTCGCCAAATATTATAATTTATGTGAATTTATAGCGATGTGAATCTCACCGAGAGCCCCCCCTAGATAGACTCGTCTCTGTCTGAAGCCCCGGCAACGTCTACGTCTATTAACAAACAATTTGTATTGTCTAAGAGTTAATCATTTATAGCGTCATCGATTTATTTTTAAACAATATTATTAACGCCTTAGCATATTATTTCATTTATTATGTAAAAATGCGTTTTATGATAATTTCAATTGTTTGTTTACCATCGTTTTTTATTTCGATGTTTTTTTCGGTTAATGTTATAAACAAAAACGAGTTCTCTGTGCGTTCTTGGGAGTTATTTTTATGACAGGAAGGAGGCTCACAAATATTGGTCAAATTAGAAGCCAGAGAAAAACAAAGTATTAACATATACATTGTTACGGGTTTTCTAGCACCTCTTTTAACAATGAAAGTAGAATAAATGCTTAATAAGTTAGTCATCATTTTAATACAATCAATCATTTTATACAAATTACCATCTTCAATACATATTTAAATAAATATTAAATAAATATTAAATATTTAAATTTGGCGAAAAACATTGCTTATTTCAACGATTGTTACTAGAGATAAAGTTTGTAAGGTATTCTAGTAATTGGAATATATAATATATCAGTTAATATTACCTGTAAATAATAATATTTAACCAGTAAACTTTTAAGCTATACTTTATGACAAAAATTATGTTAAAATCTTTCTATTTTTCTTTTTATTAGGCATAAGAAAAGGCATACCTTTCCATTATCAACTGGGCTCTGTCAGATGGCCCCCGGACAGGTAAGATAGGCAAATCAGCATGCAAAACAATGCAGTATTCGAAAATGATTTAAATAAAGTAAAAAGTAAATTCGGAGAAGAGCCCGAAAAAGACTTGAAAAAGACTTTGTGCTGATTCTGACCAAACGAAAATCAAAAAGTCATCATTTGCCACGCGAAACCGAATCGCGCGATTCGCGAGACCCTCACTCTGAGTCTGAGTGTGAGTGTGCCTAATGAGTATTCAATTGATGCAGAAAGCCAAAGACTGTCCGTCCGTCGCCATAAATGGCCATTTGAGAGACGTTACAGTTCGATCGATCGGACGTCAGATCCGAGATTCGATTAGGAGAAGAGTAGGGAGCCAAAAGCCCGGAGAACTGAACTGCGGGCACTTCACAAGATCTTTTGGGGATCGAACCAAAAACATAAATAAAATAAAACCAAAATAGAAAAAAAATTTAGAAAGAAGTGCGTCCAGGGAATCGGGGTCAATAGGAAATGAAAAGTGAAATTTTATGCCCAAAGCTCTCCGCCACGGTGTTTTTCGCCTTTTGTTGTGTACACCACAATGTGTGTTTTTTGATTTTCGATTTTCGTTTTAATTCTACTTTACTTTACTTTACTTTTTTTCCACGTTTTTCTAATTTTGTTTTTTTCGGCCAAAGGAACTTGCAATTTAAATATCATTAAATTCTGGGTTAAGCCTTTGTGCCGGCCACTTGAAAATTGCCACCGTATAATCAGTTTTTGACAGCCATCGAATCAGCCGCAAGCCAAATTGGCAAACGTCTCTTCACGGATCGCCCCGGGAAGGGTAGACATGGCGACACTCTGTCGTCGCCAGACTCCCAGTGGCAATACCTACACTCAATGGCTGTTTAATCAGGTGAGAATTGTCCAAAAGGTTTTGACGAAAGAGGAGAAATTATTGGACAAAATAAATAGGTCAGAAGCTGGACAGAAATTCACTCTGAAATGGGAACAAAAAGGTCTTTGAAATTAGAATTTTGAAAATAGAAAAACCCCAAGAAACTAATTAATAGATTTTTATATCTTTCATAAAAATGAATTCACGATTATTTAAGTAAAATTTAAATGAAATATGAATTAAAATTCTTAATAAATTCCTTCTTAATAAAAAACCATTTTAGAGACCCTTTTCCAGTGTGATCCGCATGGCTCTTAGCATCTCGGGCAGTTGTGCCACATGGCTATCCACACAGTCAATGGAGCAGCGTTCCAGGTGGATTTCCTCATTGCCACAAAGGCGACACTGACGCATGCAGCCCTCCAAGCGATTCTCAAACTCGGAGAGTTCCTGTTGCACATAGCACCGGGCTCGAGTCAAAGGTAACTGGCAGCGATCAACACAACGCTGGACTGTCTCGGCACTGGCATCCGGATCGGAGCAGCAGGCAGTGGCACAGGTATGCATCTCAATCTGCAGTCCACGGAGATAGTCCCGATCCAGATCATCCATGGCATTCAGCAGGGCATTATCGATCCTCTCGCGCTGCTCCTCCACACTGGGATTATCATCAGTCATTATGAAGTTAATATATATATTATTTGAGTTAGACTTTGTTCTGTATAGGAACTATTTTTTGAATGAAGGAATATAACTTGTTGACTTTTAATACCTTAACTGTGTGACCAACTTAATTGAAGGATGCATCTAGGTTTAAAATAAATTTCAAAGATACTTCTTACCCGCCCAGGGCACCTGTCCCATGTGGCAAATAGCTGTGACGCTATGCAATAAAACTTAATAACTATTAATTATGCATGTTTTGAGTAATTTGCAAATTCAGAAAAATAAATAAATAAATTTCAAATCTAACCAATCGCTTGTCAATGGCCCAGCGATATAATCAATTAGCACGACTTATGCTGCACTTGGCAACTGGCACCATAGCTCGTCTCCACGGATCCATGTCCAAGTGGCATGGCAAGTACTTGTATTAGCCTCCAGCGTGAATCATCCGCGGAACACAGAGTTCGTGCCAAACGAGACCTTCTGCATATTGAGACAAAAAAATAAACAACAAAATGAGTGGAGAAAAAAACCCGCCCGAAAGGCAGTAAACCTTAAGTTCGTCGCAATTAAAAGGGCGAATAGAGCTTTGAGTGCGTGTACCTTTTGGGCCTGGCCATTAAAGAGCCAACTGAAAATAACGAGCCAATAAAAGCATCCCACAGCCACAGGTGAGCGGACGCAGGTGATGGAGGTGCCGATTTCTGATTTCCGACGACTGATGACGCGACAAACAGCTCAACCAACGGCTTGTGTTCCTATCAAACAATTGGGTATTCATTTTAATAAATAATCACCGAGAATGGAAAAAAATAAATAATAATTCGAGTTGTTGTTGCTGCGGTTTTTGCATTGGACGGCTAGATGGCTAGAGATGACTTGGGGAGGTTATCAACACACACAGAACACAATACCTTGACTCATCTCAACTCAACTCATCTCATCACATCTCCCGGCCGAATGGAACATGGAACGCGCTTAAAAACGTATTATGGAAGACGGAAATGAATGCCAGGAAAAAATCATATACTATAAGTATAAGGTTTAAGGTTGGTAATATTATATAGAAATACACAAATAGAAATAGAAAAAGCCATGCATGGTAGGTAAGCAGCTGCCGAAGAATAAATTAAATTTGCGTACGGAACCCGCAAGAATCTTCGCAGAAGAATCTCATCGCTTGGATTCGTGTTGGGTTTAAATTTAAACCCTGAGCTAAGCCTCTGCGGCATGTCGACCAAATAGATACAGATACAGAGATACAGATACAGATACAGATACAAAAGATACTTCAAAGATATACCACGAAAGGCGTTATCAGCCTGTTTACTTTCCACCTGGAGAAGCTCCGCTTGGACTAGTCTCTTCTCGTCTCAAATTTCTGACCAAAACAAAGGCAGCAGAAAATTACAAAAAAAAAAACAACACACATCAAATACTAACAACAAATTGTTAAATAAATTTTGGCAAACAAAAAGCCAAACATTTGCCGGGCAACCGAGGAAGATGATAAATGATGAGCGTGTGCAATTCCCCGGACAAATAGTTTGACTCTTGCCCGCCGTTTTTGCCATGTTTTAATAAAGCTTAACTAATTAAACATCAACCACTCTGGGCCGTGTGCGTGTCTTGGTGTAATATAATAGATTTATTAAATTTGTAGTTTGTGTTAAACAAAACATCCATTGCACTGAAGATGATGAGATGGTTAGGTTTTTGAACCCTCCGAAGGACGGCAATCGATCTCAGAAGTGCTTGGTCAGATTGCTCAGGCAGGGCGAGTTGTTGGTAAACAAATTCGACAGACTGAAGAGATTCAGATAGGTGGACAGGAATGTGGCCAGCAGCCCGAAAAGGAGTACTCCCATCGTGCAGGACACATCGCACTCCAGGCGGTGCAGCAGTCGCACCAACCGGATCCAGCAGCCGCGCGGTGATACCGGCGGAGCGGTCACCAGCAGTGGCTCCATTTCCAGCTCCACGGGATCGTAGTTGAGGTCCAGCGGCAGGCTACCGTAGCTGGCCTCCGCCGCTATCCGTTGGTGTACACGCTCCATTCGCCGGATGCGACGATAAAGCAGCGGCGGCAGGATAAAGACCAGAGGTCCTGTTATGGTGCCACCTACCACATCCATCAGGGCATCAAAACTGGGCACGAACTCAGCCACGAGCACCTCCAGGGCCAACACCGAGGAACGGATCAACATCCGCTTGAAGGAGAGGGCTGCAGATGTGACATAAAGATATTTATTATCTTAAAACCCAATTTAATGTGAGTTAGATTAATTACGCGAAAGAGAATATGACGGAACTTATTAATATTCTTAGATCCAGGGAATCATTGACTAAAAAAAGTATATATAAATAATGAAATGGAAATCGATTCCCACGCTTTGAGGTACTATAAGAGATGCCTCGAATTCTTTTAATAACATAACATATATGTTTTTGTAGAACTTACATTCCGGCAGCTTGAAATAGTTCTCGATCTGAAGAAACATGGCCGAGCTGGCTACCGTGACGGAGAAGCAGAGCTGAAGGGCCATCAGGATCAGCATCACGTAAAATGGAACACTAGTGGGCAAAGTCTGCAGCAGGTTATCAGCTATCATCGATCCAAATTTATAAGCTGCTATAATAGAGCCAAAGATAGCCACGCTGCAGGTAACTATCAAGAGATATATATACATAGATACCTTCAGTAAGGTTCAGGCATTAAAAAATATTTATAAAACTTACTGGCAATACCACTTAAAGCCGCCCAGGATACCTGCGACTTTTTCTTCATGTCAATTTGAAGGGTTAGGAGCACCGGATGGATGTCGAACTGGAATGCCAGAATGCTGTAGCTGTTGAGCACGGTTAGAAAGCCAGGTAACTCTGTATGAAATACCTCTCAATTAAGTTTAAGGAATCTTTAAAAATATTTAAGACGCACCCAAGGAGATGCCCTCGAAGGGAGTTCCAATTGCTGGAGCAGCAAACAGGCAGAACCAAAGCAGAGCCACAATTACAATCATCACACAGACGGCGATAATGGCCAGGCCCCTATATTAAAGATAAAATATATTTACAAACTTTAAATAATCACAATCTAAGGAAACTATTTTCCTATAGAAGGAAGTGACCTCCCTTGGAAAACCCCTTCTCACCGCATATGCTTCGGACTGCCCAGCCACATGAGGGGACATATGACCAGGCCCACAATGATGGCCCAGTAGCAGTAGGAGAAGTTGTACTGTCCGGCGCTCATGCGAAGAACAACGGCCTCTAGATTTTCGGCGGCCATCACCACACTGGGCACTGCCATGGCAAAGATGCTGAGATCCAAGAGCACAGAGACCAACAGGCTCATATACGGACCGTAGGCCAGCTCGGCCAGAGCGGCGTATGGATAATTCCGCTTTTGCTGAATAGAGGGATCGAGCAGCTCGGCCATTGTCCAGCATTGCGATAGCAGGAAGGAAGTGTAGATCTGCAGGAAGATGATGGACAGCACCAGCAGAATACCGAAATAGCCCAGCTTCACCAACAGCGCAGGCAGCGTGACGAACGGGAAGATACCGAACAGATCCACCACGTACAGGATGGCGATAAAGAGCGACAGGTTCTCCGGCTCATCCTCGTACGCCCGAAAATGCGGTAGAGCGCTGAATCGGGATCGTCGCAGGAAGGGCAACTGGTCATGCTGATGCGAGGGCGTCAGCTGGACAGGAGGACGCCGCTTGGGCAGAGCAAAGGATGGAGCACGCGAGGGACGGGGCGCGGGCTTGGCATTCTGACGACGGAAAAAGAACATTCGCGATGTGAACTCCGCCAAGGGAAATATGCAACTGCAACTTCAAATGCAGTTCCTCTAAGCGCGAACTAATGGTGACCACTCTCGTTCGTCAAGTTCTGACACCCGACACCCAGAGCCCAAAGGGAAGCCCTGCAATGTCGCCTGCAATGTCAACGCTCCTCGCCTGAAGTTCAATGCCTTCGCCCCGCAGCGCCGTAGAGTGACCCACAAAACCAGGGCGGGTTGTCAACTCGAACAAGTTTATTCTACATTTACACATAGTATCAACAAATAGCTTCCAGCGCCAGCTCCTGTATCAATCCGTGAGAGATTCGTCTTTCATATGCCTAAAGATTCACCTGGGCAACCTTCTGCTTCTTGGCCTGGCTCTGGGAAAAAGGAAAAAGCATAAGATTTTTAGCATAGAATGACATATCTCCCGATAATTACCTCCTCTTTGACATCTGCCTGCATGGTGATGACTTGCACCGCCTGTCCGGGACCGAGGCGCAGCAGCTTGGAGCCCCGCGGCGTGGATTCGCCGCAGCAGAAGACCCGTGAGGTGGCAGAGTGCTGGATGTGCGGACTCGGGCTGTCCGACTCGTCCATGTCCTGCTCCAGCTCCAGCTGGACGCCTACGGAATAGCTGCTTGCGTTCTTGTTGTTATCCGTGTAGGCGTGGTTAAAGAGCAAATGGGTGGGACGCACTGCATCCGTTATATACTTACTACAGTCCAGAGGTTAGGCGAGCATGGTCAGTACAACAGCAACAAAGTTACGGTTATTGTTTAATGGGAATACAAATTGAAACAATTTGGGGAAAGTGGATGGATACGCACACTGACCACCAGAAAATCAACAGCTAAGCTACTTGAGGGAATATTTACAAGGGCTAAGACCGGGGGTTATAAAAAGAAGGCATGCATTGCGGGAATTTTTGCTAAATAGGAACTTGAACTCTGGTCTGCTCTGCTCTGGCATGGCTCACTCACGCTCCATGAAGAGGCGCCACGGCTGAAACAGCGGATGGTGCTGGTGTAGCGGGTGGTGCGAATGGCGGTGCTGATGACTTGGGTGACGCTGGGCCAGTGGGGACTTCTCTATCGGGTGCAAAACGCGTCAGGAGTCGCATTCGGGCGGTGCCGGTGCATCCTGCCTGCAGTTCAAGACACAAAAGGAGACATACTAAGAGCTGCCACGTTATGTGTGATCTCGATTGTGTTAAATGTGTCAAGCTGGCGCCTCTCATTCAGTGTACGTATCAGGATGAAGGTTGTGGGGGATTGGGATTACGATTGTGACTGTTCATGCGGTATACAGGGGAATGGTGACTTGGAATCCACATACGATTTTACGTTGAACAAGCGCTGGCGCTTGATGTACTCCAACACCAGATCGTCCAGAAGATACTTGACCGACTGACCGCGTCCGAGGAGTCGCCGTATCAGCGTTGAGCTCACCTCATTGGGCACCCAATTGGTGATTAGTGTTATGTTGTTCTGAAATGTAAATGCAACTCGGTAAAATCCATTGTTGGTTTTTCCCAATTTAAGCTCTTACTTGGTATTTCGTCAATATGTCGGAGTCAAATATGAATTTTCCTGGGTTGGAGCCGGCACGTGTGATTACCACCAGGCCATGGTTCGCCACAATATTCTCAATCTGCGTAAATTTGAAACAAAATTTAGAAAATAAGCTAACAAGCTTAAAAAAAGAGAGAAATACTCACATCTGCTTCTGCCCATAGACCTGGAACGGCGAAGGATTCCAGCAGGTCTGCGCCACACAGCAGCTTTAAGTGCACAGGGTCTCGACTGTCGTGCAGTCCTCTAGGTAGCCAGCTAGCCTTGTGAGTATTTTCATCCTCCCCATCACCACATGAACCGCCAGAGTTGAGCTCGTTATTAATGTAGTTCTGGTGGTACTGCAGCACAGCCTGTGTTCGCATCCATTGATTCTGGTGCACTTCCCAGTCGGACAGGCGGATCCAGGTGGAGCTCTGGGTGGCCAGCTTCACCATCGCACATCGATCCAGGGCGGATGCTAGGCCCTTCTTGCCGTACGAATCGTGTGTGGGCGAGATGATGCCACCCACCACCTTGTGTGTGCCCTGCATCTCAAAGTGATCTTTGGCTATTTCTGGAGATGATTACACATGCCATGTTCATATCGATTAAACTTCCGGGAATTTCACCACCATCCAAATACTCACCGAACATCCGCATGTGCATCGGCGTGGGCGGACTAAAGCAGCCGCATGCGATAAAGGCGATGCGGGGCAACAGGCTTTTGGTTTCCTCGATGAAAGCTGACATTTTATTGGCTTTTCTGGAGACCTTTTTCGATTCCGATTCACCGATCCAGAACCTGAAGCTGTTGTTGTTTGACCTGCTGATTTTCGCAATCAGCTGCTGTACCCACATTCGCTTTTGGTCTATTCCAACACCATCAGCTGTGAGGGCTGCCAACTCAAAAAACATTCGATAACAGCAACGAATATCGATGAAAGGGCTGTTTAATATTTAAATTCTGGTTTATAACAATATAACTGATTTGCTTGCAAAAGAAAATGTTGCTTTGTGGGAGAGGTGAAAATATCCGAATTTAAAAATTTTTTAAGCGATATTTATGATGTATTTATATTTATATTTATATTTGACAAATCAAAGTTTAAACATCTCATAACTTTGCAAAAAAAAGCATTAATTTTATTCCTATGTTAGTTTTTATTCGGTTAAAAATCTGCATACTCAGTAATATATTTTAAAAATTATAATTTTTTTTTTTCAAATTTTGACAATTTTTTGAATTTATAAAATTTTTTAAATTTCCAAAAATTTTGAAAAAATTATATTTATGTCGGTTATATCCAGATCTATTCGGCTGTTGATGCTGATCAATAATATATATGATTTATAGGGTCGGAAATGACTCCTTCAAACGTTACAAGCTTCTGACTAAAATTATAATACCAATCGATAGTATCAACAACTGTAATAATTTTGTTAAGGATTCCCTATGAAATTGTATGCGGTTTGACCCAAACATATACTGCGCTGAGTTATAGATAATTTTTCTATCAAACCTTTCTATTAATAATGTATGGCCGGTCATAAAATTAAATTTATATATTCGTGCCTTCGATAATCGTGAAGCTCGAGAACCAGTGTTATCGACTAGAAATGGCGTCTAATCGATTGCACTGGTTCTGTCTTTTCTTTTACGAAAAATTCGTGTAGTATTTACCATTTAAAAGCGTTGTGAGTGTTTGTCAATTGTGAGGACGAGTGCTGGGTCCCGCCGTTTCCGAGAGCGAACCGCAGCAACCAACGTACAAGAGTGTCCAGATTGCGGATAAGATTGAAGAAGGAGGAGGAGGAGCAGAGCGAGGAGCCGAGTGCAAAAACAACGGGCAGCAGGCAGCGCCAAGAAAATGCATTTGTAACTCACACACTCTCCCGTAAACACACACAAGCATACCACACAGACGCGGGCTGCAGCAAGGACTGGCCAGGAGGAAACCACCTCATCATCAGCAGCAGCAGCCACACCATCACCATCTTCGCCAGGTGGAGCAGGGGCAAGAAGAGGCGGCGGAGGAGGAGGAGGAGCGAAGGCGGCAGCGGAAGCAGCAGCAGCAACTACAAATGGCACTGGTGACGGTGCAGCGCTCTCCCAGTGTGGCTGGCTCCTGCTCGAATTCGGTGAGTGTCGTCGCGAGGGCAAGCACTAAGCACTATCTCGCGCGTGTGTGTGTGCTTTGTTTTGGTTCCCGTCTACGTCTCCCGAAAGAGAGTGCCAATTAGGCGAAGCTCTCCTCCCGTGCGTGTTCCGTTGTCGGTCATGATCCTTTGTGTGTTTTCTCGCCAAATGTTTACTCGAGCGCTTGTTGCTTACGTTTTGTTTTATTTCCCGTGTGGGCGGTCGGCGTCATCGGCGCTGCTTTTGGTGTAACCCAAGCAAATCCGTCGCAGACGTCGCGACGTCTATATTTTTTAATAAACTTTTGCATTGCCTTATTTGTCGTTTTTGTTGCTTGTCTCGCGTCTGGTTGTTGCTCTTCTTGCGGTTCCGTTAGGCCGCCGCCCGACCGCCCCAAAAATAGTTTGCGAGACCTTGAGCCCGGGTCGCGTGTGTGTTTGTGTGTCTGCCGCCCTCGGAATTGAATTCAGGCAATAATCCAAAATAATCGGACTTAAATCGGGCAGAAAAATAATTATGGCCCTTTGAGATCCCTTTGCGAAGTCATTCATCATAAGATCTCAATTGTGGCTATGCAGGCAAATGGTGTACCACGAGAATATATTTCATATATCTCGTTGGGTGAGTGAGTCACCTGGTTGGTGATGCGGACAGTGGAGAGTGAGCGACCACATGGACAGTGTAATAAAATACCTCTCTTTATTCCCATTTCCGGTTACCCCCAGGATGGCGAGGCCGAGGACGACGAGGGCAATAGCAAAAGCAACGTGGAGCGGAGCGAGTGCTTTTTCGCAGGCAAGGGCACCGCCCTGGTCTTGGCCCTCAAGGACATCCCGCCCCAGCAGCACAGTGAACGGAGACTGAGCACAGACTCAACACGTTCCAGCAACAGCACGCAGAGCAATAACTCAGACATCCAGCTACACCTGCAGTCCATGTTCTTTCTGCTGCAGCGCGAGGACACGCTCAAGATGGTAGGTATTTGTATTGGATACTCAGGACCCTGTTAACCTCTTTCCCTCTGTCTTCCATCAGGCTGTCAAGCTGGAGTCGCAGCGGTCCAACCGTACGCGCTACCTGGTGATCGCCTCGAGGAGCTGCTGTCGATCCTCCACCAGCGAACGAAGGCGCCACCGGATTATGCGTCACAACTCGGCCAAGGTCAGCGGGTCCTCGGGCCCCCGTCATCCTCAACCCAGCGCCAGCTATCAGAGGAGCAGGCCCCGGCCCCAGCAGCCAGTAAATGTGATAGGTCAGCGGACAAGGAGAATTTGACAGCAACAGCGACAGCGGCCGGCGATAACAACAAGAATACCTCGGGCATGGAGGAGTCCTGCCTGTTGGGCATTGACTGCAACGAGCGGACTACCATTGGCCTTGTGGTGCCCATTCTAGCAGACACAACTATCCACTTGGATGGCGACGGGTGAGACAAGTCAAATATCTTCAATAAGACATTCCTAAGACCCTCATATCTCGAAAACAATGTATTCAAATTTTGTATCCTTCTCGCAGTGGCTTCAGTGTCAACGTGTATGAGAAGACGCATATCTTCAAGCCAGTTTCTGTACAGGCCATGTGGTAAGTAGCTTCACAGACTCTCCAGCCTGATATCTACTAAAATCCCTCTTATCCATAGGTCAGCGCTGCAGACGTTGCACAAAGTTTCGAAGAAGGCTCGTGAGAACAACTTCTATGCCAGCGGTCCCTCTCATGATTGGCTGTCTAGCTATGAGAGTCGCATCGAGTCGGATCAATCCTGTCTGAACGAGTGGAATGCCATGGATGCGCTAGAAAGCCGCCGCCCCCCCTCGCCAGATGCCATACGAAACAAGTAAGGAACATCGAATCAGACAATCATCTCGTCTCTGAATAATCCATTGAATTTCCTTGACCATGGCAGACCCCCCGAGAAGGAGGAGACCGAGAGTGTAATCAAGATGAAGCTAAAGGCCATCATGATGTCAGTGGACCTGGACGAGGTCACCTCCAAGTATATTCGCGGACGCCTCGAAGAGATCCTGGACATGGACCTGGGCGAATATAAATCGTTCATCGACACCGAAATGCTCGTTATTCTCGGTCAAATGGATGCGCCAACTAAAATCTTTGAGCACGTCTACCTGGGCTCTGAGTGGAACGCCAGCAACTTGGAAGAACTTCAAAAGAATGGGTATATATTACGATTTAGTTGGTCGATTTCATATTCTTCACTGATTATATCTATATATCGCATGTTTATCGATTTATATATAGACTTGCGATTTAAATCGATGTTTTCTTTACATATTACTAATACATCCTTCGCTTTGTACCTTCCAGCGTTCGGCACATTCTGAATGTAACCCGGGAGATTGACAACTTTTTTCCGGGAACCTTTGAGTATTTCAACGTGCGCGTTTATGACGATGAGAAGACCAACTTGCTTAAGTACTGGGACGACACGTTCCGCTACATTTCGCGGGCGAAGGCCGAGGGCTCCAAGGTGCTAGTACACTGCAAAATGGGCGTCAGTCGGTCCGCCTCGGTCGTGATCGCATACGCGATGAAGGCTTACCAGTGGGAGTTCCAGCAGGCCCTGGAGCACGTGAAGAAACGACGTAGCTGCATCAAGCCGAACAAAAACTTCTTGAACCAACTAGAGACCTACAGCGGTATGCTGGACGCCATGAAGAACAAGGAGAAACTGCAACGCAGCAAGAGCGAGACGAACTTAAAGAGCACAAAGGACGCGCGCCTGCTGCCTGGCAGCGAGCCGACGCCTCTCATCCAGGCCCTCAACCAGGCCAAGTCCAAGTCCACTGGGGAGGCCGGGGTAACGCCTGATGGCGAGGAAGAGGAGCAGCGGTTACACCGGCGTTCGAGTGCTCAAAAATCACAGCGCCGAATGGTTCGGCGATCCAGCAGCACCTCGCCCAAGACCCAGACAGCGGTGGTCACCAAGCAGCAGAGCCAGTCCATGGAGAACCTTACGCCCGAGCGCAGTGTGGCCGAGGAGCCAAAGAACATGCGATTCCCGGGCAGCAACGGTGAGAACTACAGCGTCACACAGAACCAGGTACTGCACATACAGAAGCACACGCCTCTGTCTGTGCGCACGCGGGTTCACGATCTCGAGGCGCACACCTCGGACCAGCCTCCGCAACAATCCCAGCCCGTCTGGACCTCGCTTACCAAACTGATCACGCAGACATCCCACCTCGCAGGAAGTGGGAACAGCAGTGCGGGTGTGAGCGGGGGTATCTCACCGCGTCGCGACTCCAGCTCCTCGGATGTATTTTCCTCTCAGGTGGACAGCGTTTTCGCCAAGGAGGAAGTCGAGAAGCGACAACGTCGCAAAACGCACTCGTGGACTGAGTCCTTCGGACCTAGTGGCGGTATCGTTTTGGATCCAACCCCTCAGCAGCAGCATACCAATGCCATTCTGCTTCGACCGCGGGGCCAACGTCAACGGGAACCACCCTTCAGGCATGCCAGCTGGGGTTCTGGCGACAACAGGAGCAGTTTACCCGTGAGGACCAGCTCGTGCTCATACTACGACAGCAACCGTAACACGACGGCTATCTTTGAGGGAGAGATCCAGGATCTAAAGCGCAGCAGTAACTTCAATGTCAGCGATGGAGTCGCAGTGGCAGCGTCCACAGGGGTCGTAGCTGGTGAGGGCACCGTAAAGCGCACCAAGCAGAAGCTAGAGGAGAGCACTGCGCTTAAGAAGCGCTGCCAGGAGGACAGCCAGGAGCTACTGCTCGAGGCGGTAGATGGCCATCAGAAGCGGTGTCCGAGTCTATACCGAAGTGCCTCGTCCGCTCACAGTCCCCGACAGCGTCAGCCACTGCGCTGCAACAGTGAGGAGCTAATGCACACCAGCGACATCGAGAACAAAAATACCACGCCCGGCGACCAGGAAGTGACGGTGGTGCTACGCGGCCAGACTCAAGCGGTGGGAGAAGATCAGCGCATCTCGGGAAATGTGCAAATACTCAAGCAGAACTTTGAAGCCAAAGCAGGAGCGATAGGCGTTGGAGGAGGAGGAGGAAATATTGCATCTGGGACTGCATCCGGAAGCAGTTCGGTCCTCGTAGCATCGGGCTCCGGGGCCAGTTCTGTGGGTTTGGGCAAAAAGACAACCAGCCACCAATCACTGCCCTCCTCGCCAGTGGCACAACATGCGAACCATGTAAATGCCTCCTCGAACTCCAACTCCAACTCATCCGCGTCCAACTCGTCCGATTCCAGCGTAAGCGAAAATTGTGATCGTAATGTAAAAGGTCTAGTGCATAAATATCAAACCACAACTTCCTGCAGTAGCCAGGCGGCGGCCCCACCAACAGTAGCCGTTGCGTCCGTCACCTCCGCCCCACTGCCGCCCGCAGGCACCAGCAATGCGAGCAACATGCTCAGCAGCAACACAATTACCACCACCACTAGCTTCAAGCAACGCCCGCGCTCCTACTACGATCGATCTCTGTCGAACAGGTCAACGCACGATTATAGCGAGAATCGCCCGCCTCCCGCACCTGCTCGCCACAGTCACAGTCAGCACAGCAGCAGCAACAGACAACAGCAGCAGCCAGAACAGCAGCAGGTTCAGATCCGTCGACTGGCACAGCACGGCAAGACGCATCCGCTGAGCAGGCTAAGTGCTCCCAAAACGAGCTTCAACACCGCAGCCTACAACACCATGTAAAGGCAACGCTCTGCTTAAGAACATCAACTACAACCAGCAATCCATACCCCATTAGCCACTAAGGAAACGTCGTCATCGTCACCATTCAATCGCCCGCTTTACGTATTTATATATTTGCCTGCTTTTGTCCATCTTGTGTTTCTGTCCAACAATTAAACACCACACCATCACCAATCACCCTTTCCACGCCTTATGTTTGTTGTTGTTTTGTATAAGAGACGTCCATGGAAGCCGGGAGCTTATAGGGAGAGGAAACAAAACAACCTATGGAAAAAAACTGTATTTGTACTTTTTAATTACTTGTAACTGTATACATATATTTATTTTATATTATGCGAGAACTGCCTACGAATAAACGATTTATTGTATATACGTCATCATCGTCCGGTGATTGTCTCTGTTCCGTCTCTGTCCGCATATCCTCCGTGTTGACGCACACTGCCTGCTTGCCCTCCATTTTTACCAGCTTTGTGTATTTGCAGCCTTATCCACATGATCAGTTCCTTCCGCTACTCGTGGGCGGAGTACAAGAAGTAGTGATCCGCCCGCAGGCACCAGCAATGCGAGCAACATGCTCAGCAGCAACACAATTACCACCACCACTAGCTTCAAGCAACGCCCGCGCTCCTACTACGATCGATCTCTGTCGAACAGGTCAACGCACGATTATAGCGAGAATCGCCCGCCTCCCGCACCTGCTCGCCACAGTCACAGTCAGCACAGCAGCAGCAACAGACAACAGCAGCAGCCAGAACAGCAGCAGGTTCAGATCCGTCGACTGGCACAGCACGGCAAGACGCATCCGCTGAGCAGGCTAAGTGCTCCCAAAACGAGCTTCAACACCGCAGCCTACAACACCATGTAAAGGCAACGCTCTGCTTAAGAACATCAACTACAACCAGCAATCCATACCCCATTAGCCACTAAGGAAACGTCGTCATCGTCACCATTCAATCGCCCGCTTTACGTATTTATATATTTGCCTGCTTTTGTCCATCTTGTGTTTCTGTCCAACAATTAAACACCACACCATCACCAATCACCCTTTCCACGCCTTATGTTTGTTGTTGTTTTGTATAAGAGACGTCCATGGAAGCCGGGAGCTTATAGGGAGAGGAAACAAAACAACCTATGGAAAAAAACTGTATTTGTACTTTTTAATTACTTGTAACTGTATACATATATTTATTTTATATTATGCGAGAACTGCCTACGAATAAACGATTTATTGTATATACGTCATCATCGTCCGGTGATTGTCTCTGTTCCGTCTCTGTCCGCATATCCTCCGTGTTGACGCACACTGCCTGCTTGCCCTCCATTTTTACCAGCTTTGTGTATTTGCAGCCTTATCCACATGATCAGTTCCTTCCGCTACTCGTGGGCGGAGTACAAGAAGTAGTGATCCGTGATCTGGGCCCTCTGATGCGAAACCCTGCCGAAGCCCACACAGTTCCCACCTTAAACATTATGTATTTTTTTGCTATTTATCAGACCTTATATATTTATAAATAAAAAATGTGTAATCCAATTTGGGGGGCAATCTGTTTTACTGTTTGCCATGAGTCAGTCCTTGGGCTTTGGGCTCTAGACACTATAATGCTGATAAAGGTTGCATTCAAAGTCTTAAATTATTTAGTTTTCTTGAAGAATCAGAGAAAACTTTTAATTAAAAATAAATATAGTGCTAATCGGAATATTTGACACACTTTATTATTTTAAAACATAACGGAAACAAGCATTAAGCTTGAAATTCGAAACTTAATGTGGCCAAGATAACCATAATATTATTATTTTATAAATAACTACCTAAAATTTAAATAAGTAAAATAGTTTTTAATTTTATCATGAATATCGACAATAGCAAACCCAAAAATACATTTATTAAAATTATGAAAAAATTTCTGTGTACGGATTTTTTATGTTTTAGGTATTTGCAAAGGCATATTGAGGTAAAAATAATTATTAATATTTAGATATTTTCAATTTTTACTAAGTACCCTTTTTTAAATATAAAATAAATAAAAAGTAATTATGTTTAAAACATGTAAGTCAAATTAGCGTCGAAATGGAACGGTGGGAAAATGGAAGGAGGGGCTCTATAATTTTAAATTTATTTGTCAAAACGAAGGGCATTTATTGTAGTTTTACCCTACCAAGTTTCAATTTCTTCAAACCGTCAGTTTTTGAGCAAATTGCATAACAGTGATATATCCTCGGGGTCGGCTCCATACAAAATAGGGCATAAAAAATTGTAAGGCTTATAACTTTTATTTTCGAATGCGTGCATATATGCACGATATATAGGCTTACTAGGGGAAGATTAATGAATATTTGGTGAAAATTGCAATTGTTTTTAACCGTCAGATTTCGAGAAAATCGAATAACAGTGGGTGGAGTATTTAGGATGATAGCTAAGGCGCGAACTATGAAAATGGAACTAGATGAGAACCAGCAGAGAACAACTCGGTAACCAGACCATGGAACCATGATAAGAAAAATACTAAATTATATAAAAATAGCAAATTGAATAGCCCGCCAGAAAATATTCCTATTGACCAATTAAACAATTGTATGGAATATGCAATGCCCATGAATGGAATTGACATTCCAAACGTTTTGGTAGGTGTTTCATCAAAATCCGTTCAGCCGTTTAAGAGAAAACTCCGTTTTTTCATTTATTTCCATAAATGTCCTTTCGAAGAATAAATATATCTGGCAGCACTGTCTGCCTAAATTTAAGTCAATTTGATTTAAACTTTGTTATAAACTTATGCAAACTGAAGATCGTACCATTAACGGGATCGCAATTCTGAACATTTTGATCCACATTTCGGTAAAATCCGTTCAGTCGTTCATAAGAAATCCCGACTTTTTCATTTATTTCCATTTATGTACCGGTGAAATATAAATAAATCCGGCAGCCCTGGCTGTCAAAAAAAGAAAACTTGATTTAAACTTTATGGTTAAACCTATGCAAAAGTAAGATTGTCCCATAGACGGCATCGCAGTTCTGAACATTTTGATATATGTTTCATCAAAATCCGTTCAGTCGTTAATGAGAAATCCCGAATTTTTCATTTATTGCCGTTAATGTATGTACATATGTTTGTATGTGTGTATGTTCGACGAAGAATATTAAATAAAAGAATGTGATTTAAAGTTAATGGTAGGACGTATGTATGTATGCAAGTGGAATAAACGGCACTGTAGTTGTGTACATTTTAATCCATTATATATTAGTAAAAGTGTATAGATGACTAAGTTTTAAGTTTTATTTAGATAGCTTTAAATATAAGGGTCTAGTTTCCATATAATTGGACTGACGACAGACAGACATTGCTAGATCGACCATGCTGTTGATGCTGATCAAGAATATATATACTTTATATGGTCGAAAATAATTTATTCACTGACCTGAAATCATATAACAAGCCAAGGGCATTGAAGCCATAGATTTGAGAAGCAAATTTTTGAAATAAGATTTAATAGTCTGCCCAATAAAAGATATCGTTAATCTAAGCAATTTGGTGGGTGTTTCATCGAAATCCGTTCAGTAGTTTGGGAGAAATTAACAATTGAATTACTAATTTATGTACTAAGGAGGCATGACTGTGCACCCCTGGTACCCAACTGCTAAAATGATAAAGTCGAATTTCTCATTAACGACTGAACGGATATTGATGAAACATAGATCAAAATGTCCAGTACTACGATGCCGTCTATGGGACAGTCTTCCTTTTGCATGGGCTTTAACATAAAGTTTAAATCAATTTTCTTGGTATTTACGCAGGCAGGGCTGCGGGATATATTTATTCTTCGCTGGCACATAAATGGAAATAAATGAAAAAGTCGGGATTTCTTATGAACGACTGAACGGATTTTACCGAAACGTGGATCAAAATGTTCAGAATTGCGATCCCGTTAATGGTACGATCTTCAGTTTGCATAAGTTTTATAACGAAGTTTAAATCAAATTGACTTAATTTAAGGCAGACAGTGCTGCCAGATATATATATATCTTCGAAGGAACATTTATGGAAATAAATGAAAAAGTGGAGTTTTCTCTTTAACGGCTGAACGGATTTTGATGAAACACCTACCAAAACGTTTGGAATGTCAATTCCATTCATGGGACATGCATATTTCATACAATTGTTTAAATGGTCAATAGGAATATTTTCTGGTTGGCTATTTCAATTTGCTATTTTTATATCATTTAGTATTTTTCTTATCATGGTTCCATGGTCTGGTTTACCGAGTTGTTCTTTGCTGGTTCCCATCTGGTTCCATTTTCATAGTTCGCGCCTTAGCTATCAGCCCAAATACTCCATCCATTCGTAAATCGAAGTTATTACAATTTTTTATGCCCTATTTTGTATGGAGCCGACCAAGCGTCAGATCATTGTTATGCGATTTGCTCAAAAACTCATAAACACAGAAATTGGTACTTGGTAGGGTAAAACTACAATAAATTCCCTTCTTTATGGCATATCGGGTATTGGTTCACGCGTTTGATTAGCCGATATATTAAGAAATCCGTGAAAACATGATTTTTCACATGCTTTATTTTTAATATATCAATAATATTTCAAACCCAGTAAAAACAATAGTAACTTCATTTTTTAGCATTTAAAAACTTTACTTTATTCGAATAAGTGCCTTACTTACGAAGTATATTAAAAATCGAAGATCCACCAACGTGCCACACCGACGCTAATTTTACGGTCATCAGAAAAACTATATATTTAAGTTTTGATCTGGTGGAGCCTGTTCGATAAGCCATTCGATAATTTTGTATGGGCTTACACATTAGAGCTGGCAAAAGTCTTTATTTTCCACTATCGATTTTCTCGATGTTTTTACGAATTATTGTTTATCATATATCCTTTTTTTTATTTATTTTCTCTATTATAAAGAGTGCAACAATTAATTGAGGCGTACAAAATTATACATTATTATCATTATTATGAAAAAAAAGATATTTCAGATCATATTTACTAATTGTCTTAATTTTAAAGAGTACACAACGAAATTAAATAAATGAAAAATTCGTGTTTTAAGTCTAACACTCATAAGCAAATTCGATTAAAAACATCGATAGTGAAAAAAGAATTGGTTGTCTTAAAAACAATATCCAAACATCGATAGTATCGATAGTGCTCTGATATTTTGCCAGCACTAATCATATAGTCTCTCGATTCCATAAGAAAAGTAAGTTAATGCGAAATTAGTTGTTAAATCGTGGCACACTCGGCGGAACGGCAGCGAAAACTCAATCCGGTGGCAAAGTGCAGACTATGTGATGCTGGCTGGAGCAGGAATCGCACTCCAATAACCGAACATTCGATTTTCGAGTTGGAGAGTTGTTATTGTTGCAACTGCTGCAGCTTCGAAGTCGGCTCACCAATCGTACGTGGCGCTATTCGCACGGCAAGCTTTTTCCGGCCGGAGGATCCTAAAAAGATCGGGCGATGACGGACGCTGCGGGCAATGCGCTGGCCGAGAAGGGGCTGCCGGAGATGAAGGGCTGGCTGCTAAAATGGACCAACTACATCAAGGGTTACCAGCGGCGCTGGTTCGTGCTGTCCAAGGGCGTGCTGAGCTATTACCGCAACCAGTCGGAGATCAACCACACCTGCCGGGGCACCATCTCGCTGCACGGAGCTCTGATTCACACCGTGGACTCGTGCACGTTTGTCATCTCGAACGGTGGCACCCAGACTTTCCACATCAAGGCCGGAACGGAAGTGGAGCGTCAGTCATGGGTGACCGCTTTGGAGCTGGCCAAGGCCAAGGCCATTCGGGCAATGGAAAGCGAGGAGGAGGAGGAGGAGGTGACGGCCCAGGTGGTACCCAGTCAGGAAATAAGTTCGGTTGTGCGCGACCTGACCGAGCGGCTAGAGAACATGCGAACCTGCTACGATCTGATCACCAAGCACGGCGCCGCCCTGCAGCGTGCGCTCAATGACCTGGAGACGAACGAGGAGGAGTCGCTGGCCAGCCGCACTAAGATCGTCAACGAGCGGGCCACTCTCTTCCGGATCACCTCGAACGCAATGATCAACGCTAGCAACGATTACCTGCACTCTGCGGAAGCGCAGGGCCACAAGTGGTCCAAGATGTTGCATCACGAACGCGAGCAGCGCCAGCGGCTGGAGGAAATAGTCGAGCAAATGGCCAAGCAGCAGTCCCAAATGGAGCAGGCCGCTGTTATGGTACGGCAGAACAAGCAAGTGCAGTCCAATGCCGCCAGCGGCGCAGCTTGCTCTCTGGTGACATCTGACGAGGAAATGGAATTCTTTGACGCCGAGGAGCACGATTATACCGGACCTGCTCGTTCCGCGGAGTCGCCTGATAGGGAACAGGGCACCTTCATCCTGAAAATGAACAAGCGACGCAGCAGCAGCGAAGACCAGGTAGAGGGCCACCTGGAGGGCAGCTCCTCGGAGAGCGACGAGCAGAAGCGCACTGTCAAGATGGTGCAGCAGGTGCATTTGGTGAGTGCTCCGCGTGTGGCTTCCGGCGGGCAGGGCGACGATGACGACGTAGACAAGGCAGTGCCTGCCCAGTCTAGCAAAGACTCCATCTATGGTCGCAATTGGAATCCCGATCTGATGAGGAAGCGGCGCTCCAGGGTGCCAGACAAGCCACACTACCCCCTTAACCTTTGGGGAATTATGAAGAACTGCATTGGCAAGGACCTGTCCAAGATTCCCATGCCCGTAAACTTCAACGAGCCTCTGTCTATGCTGCAACGCCTGGTGGAAGACTATGAGTACTCGGAGATCCTCGACTACGCATCCACCTGCCAGGACGAGTGCGAGCAGTTAGCCTACTTGGCCGCCTTCACCGTCTCCGCTTATGCAACGACCACGAATCGCACAGGCAAACCCTTCAATCCGCTGCTGGGCGAGACCTTCGAGTGCGACAGGATGGAGGACTACGGTTGGCGCTGTTTGGCGGAACAGGTCTCCCATCATCCCCCAGTTGCCGCTCTTCACTGTGAGAGCCAGAAATGGCAGTGCTGGCAGGAGTTCTCCATGACCAGCAAGTTCCGCGGCAAATACGTCCAAGTAAGTAGCGAAAGCCATTTTTTCTGGATTCTTGATGGGATTCGGCAGCATGCTTATCCCTAATATATAATTCCCTTGTAGGTCAATCCACTGGGTGGTGTCTACGCGCTGTTCCCCGACAGCGGTCGCCGCTACTCCTGGAACAAGGTGACCACCACGGTAAACAACATTATTGTGGGCAAGCTTTGGGTGGATCAGCATGGAGAGATGGAGATCAAGGGATCCCAGGCGGCAGAGGGCCACAAGTGCGTCCTGAACTTCGTACCCTACTCCTACTTCAGTCGCGATGTACAGCGCCTGGTGAAGGGCGTGGTGATGAATCCGAACAACGAGGTCAAGTGGGTGGTGCGTGGCACCTGGGACGCGAAGATTGAGATCGCACCTGTGCTCAAGACGACGGGAACGTCGAGCAATCCCACGTACACCACGGGCGATTTTAAGCTGGCCTGGCGCCGCCGGCCCGCTCCTCCGGAGTCGGAAAAGTTCTATAACTTTACTACGCTAGCCTGCCAGCTGAACGAGGAGGAGGAGGGCGTGGCGCCGACCGACTCACGCCTCCGTCCTGACCAGCGACTTATGGAGCAAGGTGCCTGGGACGAGTCTAACAAGGAGAAGCTGCGCCTGGAGGAAAAGCAGCGTACGGTACGCCGCCAGCGAGAGGCCGAAGCGGAGGAGGCGGCGGCGGAAGGCAGGCCCTATCCGGCCTATGAGCCTATGTGGTTCAAGCGAGAGAAAGAGGAGGGCAGCGAAGACTTTGTGTATCTGTTCAAGAATACCTACTGGGAGGCCAAGGCGGAACAGAACTTCGAGGGCTGTCCGGAGATCTACTAGACAAGGAGCAGTAGGAGTAGCCAACCAGCACACAAAGGAGCCTTAGCGAATATTCTAAAGATTTCAAATATGCAGCCTCCACCCACACCCACGCTCCGGCGGATTGCGGAGCAGCACATACGCGTATAAAGTAGTATCACACTTCGTCTAGTGCATATACATATATATATTTATATATATAAATTCCCTTAAACTAACTACGATCGATCCGCGCCCATGCATCGAAATTTATCATTTGTTTCCAGACCCTACCGCCATTCCTAAAACGGAACTCCCCCCTAATCACTACCAGGTCTCTTCCTTTTCGCAGAATAAATCATGTTTCGCCTTTGTTGTGTATATATAGTATATATCGAACGGAACTGGGGACTGGTACCGCGGGCCGAGGAAAAAGGAACAAAAGAGAGAATATGTTAAATGTTATAAATTTATGCAATTTATTATTAAAGTATTATTTAAATAAAGCAACAATGTGTGTTTTAACTACCACCGGCCACCTGGTACCGCGATAAGGTCCCAAACTGACTCACACGATCGCTATCTTATAATCCGGCTGCCATTAGTGGCAAATCGAACTAATGAATCGTAAAAGTCCAAACTAAAACATTTGTATGTCCATTTCCAACCCAGTCGGAGCAAATTCATTGTGGAATTACACGTGTAACAAGGAGTACCTTAGGGAGGAATTCCGAGGCAGCATGTAATAAGGGAGGGAGCCAGGTACTCAAATCTTAAGTACTCCGAACCATATAAAAGTTCTGTGCTTTTCACTCGAGGTATCTTTTACCTCCTTAGCAAACGGAATACATTTTTCTGGGAAACCCACTTGTTATTATAGAATACCTATAGAATATAGAGCTTTGGAAAACAAAGTTTTTGAGGGATTTCCCTACTTTCTTAACAATTATTGGGCGTCTCTAGATTAAGTAATAACATGTTTTATGGGCGTCGAATTAGAAAATATTCAACAAAATATATATATATATATTTCAGACCTAAACATATAGTACAATTGCTAGAAATACAACAAGCATTACTTTCCCTCCTCAGAAATCGACCCACCCTCCAGGCGGTCATCGATCAGGCTTATCAGAGCTGACAATCTATACACCATAAAAGATAACATTTTAGGTCAGAGACCCTGACCCTCAATTGCTATCCGTGGTCTGCGAGGGAACAAATATATCCAGGGACTTGAGCAGGGCCTCGCCGGAGGGATCGCGACCTTGGAAGCGGCGGAACACCTCCGCCGTTGGCACTGAACCCCCGGAACTCAGGAAAGTTTGCTTATATCGTCGTCCAACCGCAGCATAGTTATCCTCATTGCGCTGTTCCGCGAAGCTGCTTGAGATATCGGCGGCTATGAGGCGGGAGTATAGATGGCTAAACTGAGCGGCAGCCCAATCGCCTGCGAAGATGTCGGTGAGGGAGCAGGGATGGGCGTCCAATTTGTCCAGCGGCATACAATGATACACAGGCCACAGCTTACGTACAATCTGCAGCCAGAACGCGTTCGAGCGGTGCAATTCCACGTCAAGATCAGCCAGATAAAGGTCCTGACAGAGGTTATAGCCTGCCAGTTGGGTCTTTAGCAGCCGCATCTTCTGTGAGAGCTCAGCATCTAATGGCTCACCGCTGCTGAAGTGACCAGACAGACTCCTAAGTACAGTGGGATCATCCAAGAAGTTGCTCATCACATGTCCGGATACCTGGGAGGCATCCCACTCGATATTCGACAGGCCTGCCAGATCGCTATAGCCTGCCTGGGTGAGCATGTGTTGCAGTCCACTGCCAAAGGTCTTAAAGAGCATCTGGAGATCATCGTAGCACAGAAGTGGTGGCTTACTCTCGGCCGAACCTTGCGGCGGCTCAGAGAAATTGAAGATCAGAGCGCAGAGAGGAGTGAGTCCAGCCGTCTTGTTGCTGTTCCTTATGCCCACCATCCAGCCATTGTTGCGTCCGAACTTGTGCTCCTTGGAATAGCAGTCCACATAGAAACCGCCCACTGGCGTTGAACTGTTGGGCGAGTCCCCATCGAACACGTCGTAGAACTTGACAGCGGGATGCCAGACCTCCGCCTTGGGTTGCTCCACTATCTGGATACCGAAAAGCTTTTCGCTTAGAGCGAACATTCCGGATAGAACCCGCGGCAGTGGGAAGAACTCACTGATCTTTTGCTCCTGCAGACCATGCTCGGCGGCCAGCTGCTTGCGTCGCCAGTAGGCCACGTCGTAGGCCTCTAGTTTGTAGTCACAGCCGCAGTCCTGGGCAAAGGTTTGCAGCTTCTCCAGCTCCACACTTTGAGCTGGGCCGGAGAACTTTAGCAGCTTTGCAAACATTTGTTTGAGGTTGTCCACGCTGCCTACCATCTTGGTCTGCATCGACATTTCCGCGAAGTTGGTGTAGCCCAGAAGATTAGCCTGTCGCTGGCGCAGCCCTCGGATCTTTTCCAGGTGCGTGCTGGTCTCCAGGGCCTTGCTCTGCTGCGAAGAAGCCTTCACTACATTTGCCCTCCACACATTCCAGCGCTGCAGTCTCTCCGGGCAGTGTTTAAGGAAACCGTCGACAACCTGGGGCTGAAGTGTGATCTTCCAGGGTCCTTCCAACGGCTGGCTTGAGTCGACAGCTGTTGCCTCTAGCAGAGCGGGTGGAAAGTCCCTTACTAGGTTAAAGTCGGACACTACATGACCGAACGAGTGCACTGCCATGTTGACCTTGTTTTTGAAACTGGCTCGCTCCCGTCCCAAGTGGGTAAGCAACTCCTTGAGTCCGTCCTGTTTATCCTTATCCAGCATCAGGCCATTCAGCTTTCCCTCTAGCAGAAACTTCTGCCGCAGCCGCTGCTCGTCCGCTCCGGAGACAGTAGTGGCTTCCTGGAGTGCCTTATAGACTGTCGGGTTGCAAAACTTGGCCGCCCGCGCGTTTCGGGCCCTCTCGTGGATGTTCATGTACGATTTTGTGGGAATCAGTGTAGAGTTGCCCAAATACAGAGCTTTGCCCACACCCCAGGTCGTTTCCAGCGGCCCGGTGACGGCGTCCAGCTCCCGGAAGATGCCGGCGGCGTCCAGCTGCCTGCCACTCTGTATGTCGCTTTCCAGCGCCTTTACTGACTTCTCCACCGCCGAGGCTTGCTGCCCTATGGCGCCCAGGCACATCTCGATCGTGATGTCACTGAAGGCAGGCAGACCGTCTGGCTTGAGCACGCCCTCACCCAGTGTGCCCTCCTCTCCAATCTCCGGTACCCTGAATGATTTATTTCCATTAATGCCTCCACGATGCACGACGGGTAACCAATATACTCACAGCACTATATAGCCCGGCCGGCTCTCGGATGTGTGGAGGGGAGCGCTAAGCGCGGCCCGGATAAGGGGCACGGGCGCTGGACGACGTCGCAGGAGGTTCAGCATGTCCTTAGGTACCAGATACGTCCAATCCCAGAGTGTGTGCTCCGGATTTTCCAAGCAATCGAAAAAAAAGGGCACGGAACAGCGTTTACACAACACGCCTGACGGCCAGTGCTGCCAGATCTGGCCATCACTACCTAGCCAAGACCCAATCCTAGGTTAATAACTTTGGAAGCTAGTGAATAAAATTGAATTTTTAAAAATTAGATTAAATATCCAATGTTTTTAACCGTAATTAAAAGCAATACAACAGATTTATTTTCAACATGTAATTGTCTTGTATTTTGCAAGAACTTTGTGTGTTTCTACCTGGTAATTCCTCATATTTTAAAGGGGAGTCACACATTCAGAGATAAGCAGTTTGTTATTACCATCATAAAAACACATTTCTTAAAAAGAAAATATAATGTAATAGATTTTTATATTTCTTATAAGACAATTGGAATTATAAATTAAATAATTGTTTTTCTTTAACATTTAAAGAAAGAAAACTTTCTTTCTTAGCAATTAACAATCTGGAAGCATATTGGATATTTGTTTGCCTCAAAAGATTAACTTGAGGAAGTTACAACAAAAGGCACATTTTTTGGCTTGAGCTTATCTTGGGTTCTGTGGGGAATCACCTTGTTGTTATCAAACCGTCAGATAAATTGCAACCACTCTAACGCAGGTAAGTATAATTTAGTAGGACATTATTTGCTCAACATTCTTTCGCAGATCATTGCGCCCGCACTCACCCAAGGCACGGCAAAGGCGAATGAGGAAGTGCTTCGGATCATGACAGTCATCCTCCTCGATCAGCTGCAGCAGGCGAAGGATCTGAGACTTCAGATCGTGGGGAAACCGTGCTTCGATGTTGTCCATCGAACCCTCGCCAATGCCCGCCGCTCGGCCCAGGCGACGCCAGAAGCGTCCGAGTTCCTCGGAAATCTTCTTGAATACGGCAGCCCGCTTGCGCTCCGTGAACGCAGCCGGGGATGTGGACATCTGTGTGGGTGGGAGAGGCGCTGAGAGAGGAGCAGCTGTCTGTCTCGTAGCGCAGGTCACCTGTGGTGCACCGATCCGCAGTTGCTCGCGGAGTTCCTCGGCGAGACGCAGTTCCTGGTAACGGTTCACCCGATCTTGGGCTGGTGGTGGTGTGTAGCCATTCAAAGCATCTATTAGCTTTGGCTGATTACTGGACATCCTGTGCAGAAGGTTCACGTTGTCCTCGGACAGTTCGTCCGCACGTTCCAGGCAGTCTATGAGATCCTCGACACAGCGGATGCAGTCGTACCGCCGCTGCGACCCAATCTCAGTGATGAACAGAGCCTTCAGCTCATTGATGTCCGAGCAGCCCTCCTTGGCCATCTGCTTCAGGATGTCGTAGCTCCAGTGGTTGCGGATCATTGTTATTAATAACACGGCCAATAGCGGTAACTACCAATTTCCAAAGTTGCCAAGCCCAAAAACCTTTCTTTCGCATAGAGGTGGCAAGATTTGTCTAATCGACGCTAATCGATTATTATATTACAAAAATTGAGAGATGCCATATCTAATGATTAAATAAATTAAATATTTGGCAATAAACCATATTAATAGCACATGTCCAAGTTAAAGATGAATTAAAAATTAAAAAGATAACTACATGTGCGTTTCAAATAACTTTATAAATACTTAAAAGGCACTTTTGCGTCAATTTCTCGTATTTTGATTCCCACCGATAACCGATAGCAAAGCGATCAGAAAGCAAATGCCATCTCTATAGGTCGGCTAAGAAAACACAGAAAATTGATGGAAATCTCCATAAACGTCTTTGTTTTCCTGCTCTACACCCTGGTCGTTATCTACCTTCAGCATTTCGTCAACAAGTATACGGAGTTCGTGCGCAGACTCTAGATGCTGGGCCTGCAGACGTACGGCAGCTCCTCGGAGGGCGAATCGGACCATGAGGACGCCGCCAAATCACCTCCTGCGCCCGTTCCCGCTCATTTGCTGCCAGTGGACAAGACGCACTCGATTTCAACGGCAATAGCGGTGTGTGCTGCTCCCACTGTGGTGCCCATCGGGGCTTCGGCGGTGCCGCGGACCTTGGATCCGACGCTGAAGGAGGTGTTGTACAATCCCCGCTACGAGGAAATGTACACGCCAGTAAAAGGACCCGAGCACCCGGACATGACCATGCAGCAGCGGGCGCCGCGAAACACACTGGCAGGATATGTGGAGAAGGCGCACATCAACGCTTTTGAGTTCGAGAACCAACGACGCACCTTTCATACCTACGGCTATGCCCTGGATCCCAGTGTGGACGAGATGGCCGATGGGCAGTCATATGTGGGAGATCTGCAGTCCGCCTACGATGACAACGGCAAAACAGTTTTCGAAGCGCCCAAGGCGAAAAAGCTGCGTAAGCAGGAGAAAAACGACAATCCCGAGGACATCGAGGGCTTTCTAGGACCATGGGGCAAGTTTGAGAACGAGGTTTCGGTGGCCAAGCCCAACGATCAGGAGCGAGCGGAACTGGACGAGCTGTTATCCAAGCGGCATAAACGAGGACGCATTCCCGAGGACAAGCCTCTCGAGGAGAAGTCCACATTGCACAGTGAGTACGAAGAAAAGTGAAAGAAACTTCCGCTTTCATGGCTTTTGTTTAAATCTATATTATCCTCCACAGTCAAGGATGCCTACGACTACCAGGGCCGCTCATACCTCCACGCTCCGCACGATCTGGGCGTAAATTTGCGTTCCAATGCACCGCCACCAAAATGCTTCCTGCCCAAGGCTCACATACATACCTGGACGGGCCACAACAAGGGCATCTCCTCCATTCGCTGGTTCCCCAAAACCGCTCATCTGCTCCTCTCCGGCTCCATGGACTGCCGTGTCAAGCTGTGGGAAGTGTATGGGGAGCGACGTTGCATTCGCACCTTCTCTGGACATAGACAGGCCATCAAGGACATTGCGTGGAACAACAGGGGTACAAACTTCTTGTCTGCCTCCTACGATCGCTACATAAAGCTTTGGGATGCGGAAACGGGCGATGTGGTATCGCGATTCACCACCCGCAAGATGCCTTTCTGTGTAAAGTTCCATCCCGACAACAGCAAGCAGCACTTGTTCGTGGCCGGCACGTCCGACAAGAAGATTATTTGCGTAAGTAGTTTCTATACTTGAATCCTCCATAAATATTTATCATTATATCATTATCATTATTATCACAGTGGGACACTCGCAGCGGTGATATTGTTCAGGAGTACGACCGTCACTTGGGGTCAGTTAGCACAATCACTTTTGTGGATGACAACCGTCGGTTTGTAACCACTTCGGACGACAAATCAATGCGCATCTGGGAATGGGACATACCCGTGGACATGAAGTACATCGCTGATCCGACCATGCATTCCATGCCGGCCGTCACCCTGGCACCCAATGGCAAATGGATGGCCTGTCAGTCTCTGGACAACAAGATTGTCATATTTTCTGCCCTCAACCGCTTTAAGATGAATCGAAAGAAGACCTTCACCGGCCATATGGTCTCCGGCTATGCCTGCCAGCTGGACTTCTCGCCTGACATGAGTTACCTGGTGTCAGGCGATGGCGACGGTAAGTGCTACATTTGGGACTGGAAGACGACGAAGATGTACAAGAAGTGGCAGGCGCATGACGGCGTCTGTATCAGCGCCCTCTGGCATCCGCACGAGGCCAGCAAGGTGGCTACCGCTGGCTGGGATGGCCAGATCAAATACTGGGACTAAATCCTAGTCTCAAACTAAACTCAAAATGTATAGTTGTAAGCCAAAACGGACGTGTAAATTGATTGATTATATTACATACCTTTTATGTCTAACCCGATGTGTTTGATAACGAGTGGAAGGGGAGGATAATGTGGGGTATTCCTTGTCCCATGACAGGCCCTCTTTCTGCGGAACTTTATTTACATTCAGCCTTCAGATGTGATAACAGTGGGCATGCGCAGTGCATGGGAAACTGCAAACAACTCGGCGAATGGACCCAACCACCCCCGCAGCCGAGCCAAAACATATGCGAGTGTTAGCTAAAATCGATATTTTTCACTTAAGGCGCACAAAACGTCGAGCGGATAGTTAAACACCTTACAAATATCTCGGAAAATCCACATATATCCAAAGTTAACAAGTTCTAGTACTGGCCGGAGAGGAAATGCTGTGAAAGCGATCGAGGGAATCATCAGCAGCTAGTCATCAGAGAGAGAAATCATCCTGCCAGCGGCCATGGCCAAGCCCCACTCGGATGCAGATGCCTCTGGCCTGGGCTATGCCTACCAGCTGCCGTCCGGAGGCCTTCTGCTTCGCCTGAAGTCGTCTCTCTCGCAGTTCAGCGATTTGTTCAGCGACTTCAGCAGGTACATCTCGCCCGCCTATCATCACGACCGCTGCGAGAGGTCCGTCCACATGCGGCTCTACTCGATGCACAAGCGCGAGTTCGTCATGGTCTTCCTGGGCTTCTTCACCTGCTTCGGTCTGGGCATTGTTATTGGGTTGACGGGTCCACCCATAACCAGCACCTCCTCACTGACTGCACAGCAAATACTGGCCAACACATCGCTGGCCCACAGTCCCACGGTGCTGGCAACAGGACCCTTTGCCATGAAGTCGCCTCTGACCACCACCTACTCGCAGCAGCTTTGGCTAATAGCAAAGCTAGTGACTGATAACAACGATGGTGGGTTCTCAGCTTAGTTATATCTTTTTCGTAAAACTATTCTGATGGCTTTTCATTTTTGTAGACGAGCGCTACGACAAGAGTTTCCAGGTCAGCGTCTCCATCGATGGCATCAACGAACAGCACAAGCCGCAAAATGTTCTGGGTTCTGGAGTATCCCACAATCGGACACGGCACCTGCTCTGTGTGCGCAACGATTGCGAGGAGTTTACGCTGATGCATCTGGGATTTCTGGACTACGCTCACTACATCATTACAGTGCGTTTCTATGGGTTGGAGTCGTTCCACCAGAAGTACAACATACGAAGCATCACCTTCTACGTGAGTGGGTTACAGTTCTCATTTGTGTTTAAATATTAAGTTAACTATTCTTCTCAGTTCAAGACATACAGTCCAGAGTTTACGCAGATAGAGATCTGGTTTAGGTGCATCTTCCTGCTGTTCACGTTCATTGTTATCGTAAGTTAAATTTTTTATCTTCTCTACACAAATGCAGGCTAACTTAATCTGAATTATATTTCCCTTTCAGTGTTGGTATGCTCACACCCTGCGGAAATATCCCATATACGATTGGTCCATTGAGCAGCGATGGCTGTCGGTTCTGCTGCCGCTGCTACTGCTCTATGACAGTGAGTATATCCTTCACTGAAAATTATACTGTGATGGTATGATTTTTCTTCTCCCTTTGCAGATCCATTCTTTCCGCTGATATTTCTTATGAACTCCTGGCTGCCGGGCATGCTGGACGCCATTCTCCAGGCTACGTTCCTCTGTGCCCTGCTCATGTTCTGGCTATGCATTTACCATGGACTGCGCCAGAACGAGCGCAGCTTTGTCCGCTTCTATATGGTCAAGGTGATTGTTGTCTTGCCAATATGGCTATGCGCCATTGTCCTGGCCACCTGGGAGAAGTGCAACGAGCTGAGGGATCCCACATATAGTCACTTTGTGGATACGAAGAATTACAATGTAAGTGTAAGAAGTATTTAAAAAAAATTCAATTACGAATTACGTTCTTTTTCAGGGTTTTAAGATGTTCTTCTATATTGCCTGCTGCATGTATGTCTTGTATCTGGTGCTTCTGCTGCTTAGAGCCTATACCGAGCTCCGTTCCATGCCCTATTTTGGTGAGAGTTAAGACAGGATCCAGAGAATCTTTAATATACATTTTCGTCTTGTTCCTAGATATGCGCCTAAAGTTTCTCACGCTTCTCATGCTGTTCGTCCTGTCCATATCCATCACTGTGACCACTTGCCGCTTCGGATTTGGCATCTTGGAGGACAACTTCGTGGCCTCTCTGAACACCACCTATCGTAGCTCGGCGCAGTTCATGTGCTTTTACGGGCTGCTAAATTTCTATCTGTACACCATGGCGTATGTGTATTCACCGGATGGACGCTTTGCCCAGGCCGAGCTGGCGGTTACCAAGGATAATCCAGCCATCTCCATGATTGATGACTCCGATGAGGACGTGGTGTACGGTTCTGATGAGGAATCACGGCGACCCCTTACATCGGTGGGCGGCGGCGGCGGTGGTGGAAAGAACGACTACGACAGCGATTAATCGTAGCGCCAAGAAGCTCCATGAGATTCCAAACACAATGTTCCAAAGCGCAAGCGAGGGTTATAGTGCTAGATAAGTGTACAAAATATTCTCTAACATTATGCATAAATTAAACGAATTTCCGAAATTAATTTTAGATGTTTGATGACTAGTCTACGAAGGGGAAGGAATGCGTTTCTTACTCTGAATCGTGTCGAATGATTATTTTACTAGATTGTTTATTAGATAATTAACACATTTCGCCAGATGTTTTCTCAAATTCAAGAGCATAGCAAAAACCCTCTAGATGGCCTCGTTGATGCCCATTTTCGTTTTGGTGAGCAGACCGCTATCACCCATATCCGCATTGTAACCAGGGCGGAACTTCATGCCGGGAGCCTACAAAGAAAACACAAGGATAATTCAGAAGATGCATGAATGGAACCTCTGAGAGGGAGAGTTTCACTCACATTGTACCAGACATCGCGCCAGACCTTGCTGTCGTCGGCGCTTCGGAGCAACTCGGGAACGTCGAAGCGCGGTACATTGAAGTAGTTCATCAGGTCGGACTTTTCGCTGCAGTACTTAATACGGGCCTCGGTCCACTCGTTCTCCAGATGGAAACGCCAGTCGAGCATCTTCTTGTTGTGGGAATCAGCCTCAAACTGGGCAAAGTCGATACGTTCAATATCCTCCACAACAACCTCGGTCTCACCGCCGGCAGTCCAGTCGTAGATGAGCAACTCGGCGTGGGTGGAGATGTCCTTGAGATACTGCTGTTTGTACAGCATCTCCACATCGCGCAGATACGCATCGCTGAACACCTTTGACTGCACCTCGTAGTCCACGTTGCGTGCCTTGATCTCCTTCTTAACGGCCTCCACCGGCCGGTCCAGGTAGATGACCAAATGCGGCTTCAGCAGCTCACCGATGGTGTTCTGGCGGAGCTCGTTGTACACGGAACGAGCGCCGCGGGATATGTAGCCCTGGCGGAACATTGCCTCCATGAAGACGAAGTCCGAATAGGGACTACGTTCCAAGACAACGCCCTGTCCGGTGCTGAGAATGTGTTGCAGAGCATCAATATACTGCGAATAGCGCAGCATGTACATGCGAATCTGGAACTGGGCGGCCAGGTCGTGGTTCGGATCTTGGCAGAAGTTGCGGATATCGTAGCTACGGCAGCTGGGTGGCAGTTCTGGGTCCAGCTTCCTCAAGTCGAATCCGTACGAATTAATGTAAATCAGGTCTAGATCCACGGCCGGGTAGTACTGCATGTCCAGCTCTTCGGCCAACTCCTGGGCGAACTTGGTCTTCCCGGAGGCAATGGGTCCCTCGACGCAAATCACCTTTGAGTTCTCGTCGAAGCGCGTAGAGGTCTTGTCGAAGAACGAGCTTATTACGTTGTACTTCTTCGTCTTGTACGGATATGGGGCCGCCTTTGGCACCCGAGGACCACCCCGCATTGTCTTGCCCGAGATGCTGCAACGTTGGAAGGCGGCTGGCAGGCCGTTAATCTGCGCCTGCAGCAGGTTGGGCGACTGCGCGGCACGGCTGACAAGCCGCACCAGGCCAACGCGGAACACGGCGGTCATTCTATAGGCAGGAAGAGGTAAAACTCCGTTAGCACTGGATTGCAAATTAATAATAATAACAATAATCTTGTCCCTCTAGCAGCTGCTAGTGTGTTACATCACAGGAGCTCTGCAGGTTGTGCGGTAATTTCTGGTCATCAGCTAATGAGGCACAAGCTGTTACGGTGGTCTCTGCTGCAGACTAGTCGGTGGCTTTCTTGGACTTCCTGGATTTCACGTATTATTGTTTAAAATGCCGTATTAACTTACTTTTCAAGCAAAAAATTCGGATGTCGGCCCAAAAACAACTTGAGCTGTGTAGTCGGTGTTGGAAAACGATTCGGTTAGGGTTGTCATATGCTCGCGAATATATCGAATCCAGAAATGTTTACCCTTTCGGTAGTTTTAAATTTGGTTCAGATATATATAAAATAGATATTCGAATATATATTAAGTAAATATTTTGCCATTAGTTTTCTTTACATAAAATTACACAATTGGAAAAATATATAATTATTATTAATGCAATATTAACTGATATCAGCTATTACCAGCAGATAATTATACAACACTGGCAATAGAGTTGCCAGGAGTAAACCATTAAGTTAACGGTTCGATATAGAATTTTAACAATATTTAACAAATGCTTTTGATTTTAGTTCAGTTTAATATGAGTTTAATTTGTCCTAGCATATTTAATTTTTTTTAAAACGACTTTCACATTTACACATCGGTTTGCGGTGCTCTCTATTTTCGCCACTTTCAAGAAGCTTGGCAACCCAGACACAACCTTGCTGCATTTTGAGCTCCAACGTTCTAGCAATGAACTAACGAAAATATCAATCAAAATTTCAGCCTTTTCTCTTCAGGAACAGATAGGCACACACCCAGACTTGGGAGCACGAGGTACAGGTGAGTTCTGGCGGTGGAGCCTTCGTTCTGGCCGCGTTCTGTCGCCAGAGAGTTACGCAACTGAGAACTAATAGGATTTTCCTCGTGACACAGATTTCGTTATTAAGCAATCCCGGCAAGCATGGGCAACACAGCGATTACCAGTGTCCGGATGGAGGCCAGCAAGACTGTGCCAGTGGACCACGCCAAGTACATGAGCGCCGGCGGCTCCCCACCGCCGGAGTGTCCCATGCATCAGAAGCATGGCGATGCTAAATCCGCTTCGGCCGTGCCGCCACATCCCAAGATGCAGGCAGCATCAGAGTGCCCGGTACAGCACGACAACAGCGATGTGAATCCGCTGAACATGATGCCGCCAGCCAACCAGCAGCCGGCACCGGACCAGCCCTTCCCACTGCCAACCGACCGTCAGACGTCGACCATTCCTAAGGTGACGGAGGACGGCACAGTTCAGTTCTGGCAGTATCCCAGCCAGCAGATGTTCTGGAACGCTATGTTGCGAAAGGGCTGGCGCTGGAAGAATGAGGACGTCTCGCAAAAGGATATGGGCGATATCATTCGCATTCACAACGCCAACAACGAGCAGGCCTGGCAGGAGGTGCTCAAGTGGGAGGCGCTGCACGCCAAGGAGTGCGGTAATCCACGCCTCAAGAGCTTCGGCGGCAAAGCCAAGGACTTCAGTCCCCGCGCCCGTTTCCGCAGCTGGCTGGGGTAAGTCCCGACGAGTGCTTTCTTGATTGGAGATCTAAGACCATGAGTTTAATTTCAGATACGAGCTGCCATTCGACAGGCACGACTGGATCGTCGATCGGTGCGGCAAGGATGTGCGCTACGTCATTGACTACTACGACGGCGGCTTGGTGGACAAGGACTATAGATTCGCACTCTTAGATGTACGCCCAGCCATGGACTCTCCCGGCAACGTTTGGGACCGGATGCGTGTGACCTATATGCGATGGAAATACGAGTTATCCGAGAAGTTTGGCAGCCGAGACGACGGCAAAGTGTCTGCTGGCAGCGACTAGAGGAACCCATAGATATCTGTACAAAATCGGCTTAAGTTATCATCGAATGCAACTGCAGTTGTAGTTGAATGCGTTTAAACTGTTTAGCACTGAAGGAAGCCCCAACTGTGCTTCTCTATTTAAATAAAATTAAATTCTGACTTTTAAACACCTAATATTAATGTGTTCTTAATTTGTCGTGGAAGTTTCCTTAGTTAATTTATATAAAAAACAAATTTTTTTAATATCAATAGCGCATCATGTTCCCGATGTCATATGTATATTAAAACAACTCGATTTATTAAAATATATGTATAAGACGAGCTAACATTCAAATTGTATTATTTGTATAAAAGATAATATTCATTTAAACATTTTCCTAAGTTAAACAAACCGTTTCTAGTTTCTATATATGAAATTAACTGATTTTTAATATGGGGGGAAAACTTTGAAATTTCAACTGTTTGAGATTTTTTAGGGGGAAAGCAAAAATTCCATCTGGCAACACTGCTTTTGTGCCCCCCATTACGTGGAATCCAATTTACTCGCTGGAGAACCAAGTGGATACCCGATCCACTTCGATCAGTCATAAATGCTAGCTGCCAGAATGAGGTTCGTACAATATCTGCGCAAGGGTGATCTGGCCAAGCGCCTGGGCCTTCTGGCCGAAGATCAAAAGTCCCTGGTGGAGCTCGCCGGCCTGGAGGGAGTGCCCAGTGACCTGAAGACCCTTATTGCGCAAGGCTCCAACCTGGAGGAGCTGGCTCAGAAGGCGGCCAAGCAGCCGCAACTTGAGCTGGACTCTGTCACTCTGCTGCCTCCAATTAGCGATCCTGGCAAGATTATCTGCATTGGTGAGTGATTGGGGGACCTTGACTATGACCTTGTAATGGTGATAATTGAGGATTTTTTCGGCAGGCCTGAACTACCAGGACCACTGCGACGAGCAGAACAAGCCAGCGCCCAAGGAACCCATGTTCTTCAGCAAGTTCAACAACGCGCTGGTGGGCCCCAACGATAATGTCATCTCCCACACGGCCAGCAATGTACGTAGAGTGTCAGATAACGAGATATGTAGAGGCTTCATCAGATAACACAAAACTTTCCACAGAAAATTGACTGGGAAGTGGAGCTTGTTTGTGTCATTGGCAAGGTCGCCCGCAAGGTGCCCAAGGCACAGGCCATGGACTATGTCTTCGGTTATAGTGTCGCCCAAGACATCTCTGCCCGCGACTGGCAGAAGGAGCGCAACGGCGGTCAGTTCCTCATCGGCAAGTCGATGGACACCTTCCTGCCGCTGGGTCCCTCGGTTGTGCACAAAAGTCTGGTTAAGGACGTCTACGATCTGCAGCTTAAGACCTGGGTGAACGACGTGGAAAAACAGAACGGCAATACCGGCAATATGATCTTTAAGCTGGACGATGTAATCAACCGGTTGTCGGATACCATCACTTTGCTGCCCGGCGATATCGTCGTAACTGGAACGCCCAAGGGAGTAGGCATGCACCGCAATCCACCAGAGTTTTTGAAGCCAGGCGATGTTGTCAAGTCGGAGATCGTTGGGCTCGGCCAGCTCTGCAACAATATCGTGGCCCCTTAAGGCCGGCATTCCTTTATATTTGTTGTATTTGATGTGTTTGTTAAACAATGGCATTTAATCGTTGATATTATAGTTTGAATGGGCCAACGGTGTTTCGCTGCAACTTTGTTACTGCCACAAATTATTCTCTTTTGTTATCAATATACGAAGTAATGAAATTTAATGAACAGGTTAGACCTTGAAAGTCTTTGACTGTGTGGCAAAGTACTCGTCCCGACTGTGATAGGGCCGATATGGATCGTTAATGTAGTGCTTGGGCCGCCTCCAATAGCTTGTGACCATCTTGTCCAGCAACCAGCTCTGCGTTGCGTTGGTAAAGACGTGCTGCTTAAGGCGTCGGCGCAGGGCGCCCGACTTCTTGAACAGCTTCTTTTGGCGGCCAGAGTGGGTGCGAATCCAGGCGCCCCATTCCAGACGCTTGAATCGCTTCAGAACTGCCTTGACGGTCTTCCTTTTGCCCTTGATTAGTGAAAACTTGGTCACGTTGCGAGAGGTTGGCGGAGATCCCGTGGCTCCCAGGCTTGCAGGTAGTTGAAGGAACGGCGATGGGGACACCAGCGAGGGGACAGGCAGGAAACTAGGCCGGGCTAGAGTAACGAGACTGGCACGTTGTGTCTGCTGGACAAGGGGAACCAGTGAACTAGCAGCCTGCGACTGACGGCAAACGCTGCGCAGCGCTGTAAGTTTGGGGAATGTAAAAAATCAATGTCTTCATTATAACCAGGCGACGTCTACGCACCGCTTGTCACAAAAGTTCGCAGCATTTCACTCAGTTAACTCGGTAAAACTTAAACTTAAATAACAATTTCTGTTGTCGAGTCGCGTAACACCATCAGCTGCTTGTCATTCTCAGCAAACCGAAACTAAGTGTGACCGAAGCGTGTAAAAATACCACCCACAGTCGTTTTTCCGGCTCCACGGCAGCTGGGCACACTAAAACGCTTCAGAGGGCGCTCTTTCGATATGCTGGTTGCTCTAGACCAAAATGTCTTGCAAATCTGGTTGCTCAAGACCGAAAAGTCTGACAACGCTGGTAAATTGAGACCGAATAGTTTGATAGCGCTGAATGCTCGAGGACGCAGCCAGACTTTCTGGTCTAACGCTGCCAGACTTGTCGGTCTCAGCCAGCCTGGCCAGACTGTATTGTGTCGGCGTTCGCTGCGAATGCCACATTTAGACAAATAGCAAAATCAGAGTGTTGGGCTAACACAGCCAAAACCAGGACGATTTGCAGGCTTCCACAGACCACTGACGCCGCTGTACGCCTCCCGACACGAACAATAACCACGCAGCACCATGTATAGGCTAGCGGTGCGAGATCAGTGCAAATGTGCCCTGCAGGTGAGCTTTTTTCGGTGCACCGGCGGCGGCTATGTGATAACGTGAAAATCGATCGTCACGTTGCCCCCTCCGCCCCTCCGGTTGACAGAAATACAACAAGAGGCGCTGGTTATGTCATCTCCTCAAGCCCAGGAAACGGCTGAAAAGTTCCAAAATTCCAGTTGCCCTTGAACCCTTGGTGTCTTACGGTTGTCCCTGGGCGGGGCGGGGCTAGGTTGCCGGTCTCTTCAACTGCTAAATGTGTACTTCATCTGGTGTCTTTGATTTCCACAGCGTTCTCTGCAGCAGACCACGACAAACAACAGGCCGCTCAGCAGCGGCAGCAGCAGCAGCAGCAGCAGCAGCAGCGGGAGCAGTAACAACAACAGCAACAGCGGAAGTGGAAGCAGGGAGCAAGGTAGGCGAGGATACTATGGCCTACCGCCCCCACCGCATATGCGCGAAGCCGGCTTCGGTAAAGTGGTGCTCTTCGTCTCCCCGCTGGCCGCCGTTGGCGGAGTCATTACCTACGCCAAGTAAACGAACTTGTCATTTATTCTGCAATATAAATCACTAACCAAAATATGACTTACCTATAGGTACGACATTGACTTCCGCAAAATGGTCGAGGATAAGGTTCCCGGTGCCGGTTCGGTCATCAAGGTAGTTCTGCAGGAGGAGCCACCATTCAAGGGGGTCACCCAGAGTGTCAACGACCAAATCGATAAGGTCAAGTCGGGCTTTAATTCGGTCACCTCCTCTGTGGATTCGGTTACCTCCAAGGTAACGGGTTTGTTTGGCGGCAGCAGCGGAGATGACAAGCCGAAGAAGACCAAGGCAGATTCCGTCAAAAGTGAGTCTGCACCAGAGAAGAAGTCAACGACGCCCCAGGCCAGCAAGACGGAATCAAAACCAGCGGCGAAAGCGGAGAAGGTTGCTTTACCGCCTACGCCACCACCCAAGAAGGAAGAACCACTGCCTCGCGAAGTCGTTGAACTGGAGAAGGCCATCGAGCTGTCAGCCGAGCTGGCAGTGAAGGAGTATAACAACGCTATAAGCGTGCTTAAGAGGTATGACTAGATGTTGTCCTCTTTTGTCTATTTGTATTTATGATTCCATCATTCATTGCATGATATTTTAAGAGATGTTGGCACATTGCGCAAACTGTTAATTTTAGAAAAGTCTTGTCATAGGTGTGATATACGATTTCAGCAATTTCTCAATTTTCTGAAACTTTTAGCTTTAACGACGAAGTACGCAAGGTGGTTGACAAGGCGGTAGAGAATGGCGAGAACTCGCTGTGGACAACGCTAAGAAATCGCGCTAGTGCTCGGGACACGGCAGTGGCCACAGCAGAGCGTGCGGCGCGTCAAGCCCAGGAGAAGATTGGTAAGCCTAAAGATTCTTAAATGTGTAAGAAGTTGAGTAAAGCGCAATCTCTATCCAAACAACAGTTGCCTGCGAGATCGCCTTGAGTGCAGCTGCTACGGCGGAGAACAGCAAGAAGGTGGAGGCGGTGCGCGATAAGATCAAGAAGCTGGTGGATCACATAGCCAACGTCAAGGACGAGCTCTACCGGCACAAGGACACGGCCAGCGTGTCGGACAAGTACTGGCGCAATGTGGAAAAGGCCCGCAACTATTTTATTGACGAGATCGAGTCTATCTTCCCCGGCTTAAGTCTGGCGGATAAGCAACTTAACTTGTCAAAGGAGGACCTCGACTTGTTTATCCTGCACGCCTATTCCCATGTGCTGGCCTACCAGAAGGAGCTGCAGCGTCTGCAAACCGATGGCGAGCTTCGCTTGAAGCGTGCCATTGACTCTGTACGCGGCGACAATGATTCGGAGGCGCTACGTGCCCAGCTGGAATACCTTTTGGAAGCCGAGAGGCGCAAGTTGGCCGTGGAGAGCCAGAAGAAGATCTTCCAGATCCACGCCGAGTCTGACAAGCAGCTGCGTATGCAGCTGAAGAAGCAGGCGGAGGCCCACACCGATCACATCAAGGATATCGTGGCTCAGCGGGAGACGGATCTGACGCGCAGCTTTAAGCGGGAGTTGGAGGATAAGTTGGCGGCCGAAAAGGCCAACTACAAGCTACAGCTGGCTGCCATGCTTGGCAAGCTACGTGGCATGGATGCGGCTCTAGCGGGTAAGTTCCTTATGGGTTCTTTTTTGGGCTTCGCTAGTGTATTTTGGCTAGACTTGTAATCGGTTTAATGAATCCACAAAACATGCTGCTCGCTTAGAGATAGAGGATGAGTTTCAAGGTATTCCCCTTAGAAGTGACCACTCTAAATTGGAATTTCTTTTGCTAACTCATTTTTATCACCACTTCACAGAGCGTGCGGATGCGGAGCGTACTGCCAATCAGGCACAGGCCTTGTGGGCCGCCTGCCAAGCTCTGTGGGCTTCGGTGCGCTCTGCCACTCCTGGAGTGCACTACTCAGAGAAGCTGCGCCCTCTGAAGAACGAGATCAATGCCATTGCCAAGGTGGCCAGTAAGTTAAAATTTAAATTTAAATAAAACTCAGAATAATGCATGCATAAAATCACTTGCAGAAGGCGACGATCTGGTGGCGGCTGTGCTGCAGAGCATGCCGCAGGAGGCTCAGGAGCGTGGTGTCTATCCCGAGGATGCACTGCGCGAGCGTTTCCTCAACGTAGAGCGCGTAGCGCGTCGTCTGGCCCTGGTGCCGGAAGAGGGAGCCAGCCTGCCCATCTATTTACTGTCCTATCTTCAATCGCTGTTCATCTTGCGACCCGATAATCCCATTTCCAAGGACGAACTCGAGAACAAACCTTTCGACTACAGCAAACTGGACACCTACGATATCCTAAACCGGGCCAGGTAAGTGGTAGCTTCAATACCAATTATCTTTTTCTATATTTTATATCTTAAAGGTACCACGTGGATCGCAGCGACTTCCTGCAGGCGCTAAAGTACTTGAATCTGCTGCAGGGTGCGTCCCGCAAAATAGCCGGGGAGTGGATGAAGGAGGCACGCCTCATGCTGGAGACGCAGCAGGCGGCTAACACCCTGATGGCCCACGCTGCTGCCAGTGGCCTGTTGTATTTGTAGACTACGTCCCCTAAATCAATCCTCCAGAAACACAGATTCACTTTATGATTTGTTATTAGTCCAGGAGAATGCGTGAACTAGAGCCCGTAAACGCGAAAGATAAATAGCAATATGTAATTTGTCCTTTAAGAGAAAAAACAGTTTAAATGAAAAGAAATAACCCTTATATATTTGTAAAATTTTGTTTAGCTTCAATTATACAAATTATATATAGAGAAACTACATAAAATTCACAACAAATACACACCTTTGGGGACATCCTGGCGGCTCTGTTGAATGTCTGCTGGAGAATGCCGAATCAAATTGGTCGAACATTAATCAAAAAGCCGTCTTATTCTTGAGGGTAACGAGAGCGTCTTTCCCTGTATGATTAATCAGGCTAAAGCTTTTCGATCTGGTACTGATTGGGTTAGATTACAATCCGCCTTTAAGGTCATATCCCTTAGCAAGCATTGTGATTAGTAAAGGGTAGCAATATTATAGATCCCTTCACGCAACATTAATAATCTGGCATAAATATGTTTCAAATCTTACGAATAAAAAATCTTTGTTTAGTAACATTTTATTTATGGTTTCTTGTATCATTAAAATTTGATATTTAATTTTTTTATACATTTATCTATTTTTCATTTTATATTTTATATTTCCTATTTTTTATTTTTAAGCGAGAAAATTTAAAGCTTTAAGCCATGTTCTATACGGAAAGTTCTATATTATTAATAGTGATTTAATGATTTTAATTTATTTTACATTTGATTAAGGGTATTAAAAAACGCGTATATTTATTTTAATCTAAGTAAGAATAGTTTTAATAAGTAGGAAACAAGGGATAATAAAAATAAGTTTAATTTTCGAAACTAAAATACAAGTTAAGCCCTGGTAGCAGTGCTGCCAACCTATTCAGCCCAAAAAAGCTATACTACAATATGAAATAGCTAAAAAATTGTCAGATCTGTGCTAAGGTTTAATAGTTGCAGTAGTTTGTAAAAGGCTAAAAATATTTCTAATTCAAAAATAACACAGTTTAGGTATAATGATAAATTAGCATAATTTTTTGTTAAAATGATCAACTATACTAGGCTTATAATTAAAGGTTAATTCAATTTTTAGAATATAAATGATGTTCATGTTAAGATATGCTAGATCTAGCCTGAAACAAGCTAAATTGACAGCACTGGCAATCAGCTGTGGTGGAACTTCTCGGTTTGGCCCGGAAAAAAAGAACTCGAAATTCGATTCAATAAAATTCCCCGTGCTCTCCAGGATTACGGCCTAACTTTTAAGCACCCGTCGAAGCGCTAGGGAACCGAGGAGAAACATGTCGATGCTGGCGAGAACCGTTGGACGCACCTTTATGCAGGTAAATCCACCGCGGGTCTGGGAGCCTCTTACATAAACGCTCGCCCCGCGACGCTGTGCGAATATTCAGCGAGCGCTGGGCCAGCTCTTTTTTTTTTGAGGTTATAATCCTAGCCAGCAGCTCACTCGCATCCTTCTGATCTGTGTCCTTTTCAATATATTCCGATTTAGGCTGCGGCAGCTCGTAGTCTGCATACCACGTCGGTCGCCAGGGTGAGTTCCTAGTGCCAGTCACTGTCACAAGGCGGATAACTAATAGGAAAAATCGCTTTTGCAGGATGCGTACGGCGCCAACAGGACCACCTGCACACTGATTCCCGGCGATGGTGTGGGTCCCGAGCTGGTTTACTCACTCCAGGAGGTCTTCAAGGTAGCTATGCCTTACTTGTTAATGAGTATATGTAAGAATAAGATATAAATATCAAGTGGTTAAGTCCAAAATAAGTCGACAAAAATAATGTGCTTAGTATCCTATCGGAAATATTGAAGACTTTAATTTATCCATTTGAAGTATACATTTTTGATGTAAAATTCGATTTATGTTTATTTATTCTCTGCCAACATCAATTTAGTGCATTTATATCTATTTATAAAGTGAATTTTCCATCTGATATTAACATACTATTAAAAAATCTTTATTTCCGATCAATCCTAGTATTAATATTTCGTTTATTTATTATATTTTTTTTTTATTTATTACTTTTTCAAGAATTTATGTATTTAATAATTCCCTATCCTATAACTCCCCTTCTATGCCTTCTTAATGTTCAATATATTTGTTTATTCAGTTGGTATTTGTAACCTTTATAAAATACTAACTGTGTGTAATTTTTTTAATCGAGCTGCTTGCAAAATGATTACTTAATATTCACGAGAACGGAAGCAGTACTTAAATTATATAAAACAAAACATTGCCACTTATCTATATCGTAAAGATAAGTGATAAGGTTTAAGATTTATACTGCGCTCTTAATTTGAAGTGTAGTTTTTGATTTATTCTTAATTCGCTTATAACTTGTTATATTTTCAATATATACTTAATACAATATATACTTTCAATATATACTTAAACTTTGATTTATTCCCTGATATATAGTAATTTCCTTTGAATCCCTTAGGCAGCCAGTGTTCCTGTGGACTTTGAGTGCTATTTCCTCTCCGAAATCAATCCCGTACTAAGTGCTAAGCTCGAGGATGTGGTAGCCTCCATCCAGAAGAACAAAGTGTGCATAAAGGTGAGCTTAAATCGCATAAGACGTTCACAATAAAATCTTACTAGTTTCTATCTAATGCAGGGCATTTTGGCCACGCCCGATTACAGCAATGTGGGTGACCTGCAGACGCTCAACATGAAGCTCCGCACCGATCTGGATCTGTACGCCAACGTGGTTCATGTTCGCAGTCTGCCCGGTGTTAAGACCCGCCACACCAACATCGATACGGTGATCATTCGTGAGCAGACCGAGGGCGAGTACTCGGCGTTGGAGCATGAATCGGTGCCCGGTATCGTTGAGTGTTTGAAGATTGTCACCGCCAAGAAGTCAATGAGGATTGCCAAGTTCGCCTTTGACTATGCTACGAAGAACCAGCGTAAGAAGGTCACTGCCGTGCACAAGGCCAACATTATGAAGCTGGGCGATGGCCTCTTCCTCCGCTCCTGCGAGGAGGTCTCCAAGCTCTATCCGCGCATCCAGTTCGAGAAGATGATTGTGGACAACACGACCATGCAGATGGTGTCCAACCCGAACCAGTTTGATGTGATGGTCACACCCAATCTGTATGGCGCCATCGTTGACAACTTGGCTTCCGGCCTTGTTGGCGGTGCTGGTGTCGTAGCTGGTGCCTCATACTCGTCGGAGACCGTGGTGTTCGAGCCGGGTGCACGTCACACATTCGCCGAGGCTGTAGGCAAGAACGTGGCCAATCCCACTGCCATGCTGCTGTGCGGCGTGAAGCTGCTGCGCCACATCAACCTGCCCACCTACGGCGAGGTTATCCAGAATGCCATCAACAAGGTGCTGAACGATGGCAAAGTGCGCACCAAGGATCTGGGCGGACAGTCGACCACGCAGGACTTCACCCACGCTGTCATCCGGAACATGGCCTAGACGACAACGCAGACCTTAACCACCATCGATGGGCAACAGCGTTGGCGCTTATATAATTGACATTAGACAGTTTTTGTTGTTGCCGCAGCTGCTAAATTTAAATTGTTGAAAAATTACCCTAAGAGTTCTTCTAGTTTCCTTCTACGTCTAATTTTTTTTATTTGTCCCGATGTCAATATCTGCAATGCATTAATTTTGAGTATTATTTCCGGCGAATATTTAAGTTTAGTCCAATTAAACCGCCCACAAGAAGCCCTGCCCCGAATCCAAAGCCTTGAATCCTTTAGTTTTACCAATTGGCAGTAATACAATAATCCTTGATTATGTTGTAATTATTTACGTATTATTTTCCCTCATTTTATTGATTTTTCAAAAATCCAACTTCTTATTTTATGTTTACCTTGTTGAGAAGCAAGCAAAAAAGAAAAGAAATGAAAACGAAATCACTGATATTGCTAAACCAATTTAACTGATAGCGGACGGCTTGGAGTGGACCCACTCCACTGGAGCTGTGAGAATGATAATAACAATAAACTCAAATCTAAATTAATTATTATTTAAAAGCCATTGTCAGTCAGATTGAGCTGTCTAAATTTTAAGTAATACAAACAAACAAAAAAACCAAAAAAAACAAAGTTGGAAACTTTATTGTGAACTAAGCTGAGCAGCATCTATCATGTCCAGCAGCAAAAACGCACTCCAATCTTTCTGGGAAAGGATGTTCCGGGACTATTCGAAGCATGTCAAGTACTTGCAGACCCAGAATCCGACTTGGGAGCAAATGGTTGAGCTGGAAAAATACCGCCAGGCTATTCTTGATTTCAGATACAATGGAAAGTGCTCCAAACGTCGGTAAGTATGGACTTACTTTCGTTTTGAGTTGCAACTGCTGAGGTGGTCGATATAATTGGTTAGTGAGGGGATACGCATGAAGGAGATGCAGAAATATATGGAAAGTCAAAGAATAAACCAAAAAAGAAAGTTAACTCATGGCAAGTAAGTTATGAAAGTGAAAAACTAAACCCAAGACCTTTAAACTTTAGCAATTTCTTAGACTTTCCATAGGAAGTAACTTACCTCGTCTTCGTGAGCCGCGAGCACAGCTACGCAGTTTAATTCCCGCCCGGAAATTGTTACAACTGAACAACAGAGTCGTTCGGGCTTTAAACTTCTACTCAACTGCCTCCGATCGCCTCAAAGAGCTGGCCAAGAGTAGGCAAAGACCTGTGGAATGTGGAGCCAAACCCTGGAAGCTGACCAGTGCCATGAAGTTTTTTGAGCCCAGTGATCGCCTGCTAAGCTTAGCCCTCCACCGAACGCCTTTCAAGGAGCATCGTGATCCCTATAGGATTTCCTCTAGTGCCCTTTTATATGAAGGTTAAAATAGTATTTAAAAGTTACCAATTAAACTGTATTAAATATTACTTCCTTTTGGTGTTGACAGCTACTCCAAGGATTCTTCGCTTGGCAGAGCCAAACAAAAAGGATCACAAGCGGACCGTCAAAGGTCCATCGAGGCAAGATTGGAACGGAGCCACTCAGCGTATCTGGGAACTGGCCAAGCCAAAGGTGCGCGAGGATGGAATCTACCGTAGGACTCCCTTCAAGGTGTCAGAACGTGCCCTGAGGGCCAAACCCACCCCACGAGTCCTAAAGCTAGCCGAGCCAAGAATCTGAAGTGCAGCTCTAAAAAGCACAGGCCAACCATAGATTACGGAGTTTGGAATATAGTATGGAAAGGGTTTCCTATTATTCCCATATCTCTGCAATCTGTTCTAAGAAAGTAAAGCATTGATTTTGAATATAATAAAATCCCCATCGTCTTTAAAAGGTGAAAGCGATCTAGGGATAACTCAGTTTTTAGATCTCTTTCACCCTTTATAAGTCGATTGGAGTTGGCCGATATGAATCTTTTCTTTGGAATCAGAAATGAGAAAGGATGTTATCCTTGCAGTTTCGATCGGTCATAACTAAGCCAAAAAAGTATCAATTTCAATTCAGAAACCGTTCCTATGCTAGTTTTGATTAGGTTAACAAATCTGCAAATTGAATTTATAATTTAAAAATTTTGAATATTTTTCGAATTTTTGAAAGTTTTAACGATGTAACCCCTTTTAAAATTGTACAAAAAATTTGCAAAAAATTAAATTCGCGGAACATAGCTAGATCGACTCGGATTTTAATGCTGATCAAGAATATAAATTATTTATAGGGTCGGAAATGAGTCTTTTACTGTTTTTCAAGTTTTTTACTTAAAATTAAGGTTCTTTTTATGTATGCATAATTAAAAAACAAGACACATTTGTCACATTCCCTAGTTGTAAGCATTTTCTTCAAGGCATATTTAGTTTTTTTATATGAAACCCATAAACCCCTTTAAAATCTTGATAAACATCTTTGGAGTCCCAAAAGAGTTCACATAGTTAAGCAGAAATTCTTATAAACCAAAATACAAATTTAATGGGAAACTTAATACCAAACATGGCCGAAAAATTAAAACTATAATAACACCGAAACGTATTGCAATATGTATGACCTTCATATCCACATCTAACCGCCCTTGGGCTTGGCCAGCTCGATGAGTCGCGGAGAGGCCTTGGCCTTGAGGGCGGCGGGTGAAATGGCAAAGGGATTCTCCCGGATGTGAGTATTCTCGAACTCCTTGGGCTCCGCCAGCTCCTTGATGCGTGACGTTGGCTTGTACTTGAGGGCATTGGGAGAGATGCCAAAAGGGTTTTCCTTGACATCGGTCAAACCCTGATTGGCATCGCGAGTCTTTAGAGGTTCGGCCATTTCCTTGATGCGGGCACTCGCTATTGAGTATTGAAAAATTAATGAAATAATTACAAAAGAAATATAGAATTAAATATCGAATATAAAGGGCTGGATTAAGGGTCTAAAATGAACCCAAATATAAGTATAGAAAAGGAAACTTACGTTTGTATTTCAGTGCAGTTGGATTTACTTTCTCCGGATTCTCGTTAATGTGCACATTTTCCCTCTGGACTGGTGAGGCTATAACCTTGAGCCTTTTGGATGCCTTGTAGTTTTTCATCTCGGGAGTTAGTTCCCATTTGGGTTTCACCTCCTCCACATAGGCCTTGGGACTGGACAAAGCCTTCAGACGTGCTTCATCGATTTCGCCTACTTTCTTTTCTGGCTTTGGTGGCTGTGGGGGAACTTTCGGTTTCGCCAGTTTTGCAATATATTTGTTTTGTTTGGCCAGCTGTTTGTCCGTCTTCTTCTTTTTCTTTTTACTGAAAATGGTATAAAAATCGAATCATAAATGGTAAATTTTATTGAAATTTGAAAATGGATAAAACTGTATTTCTCTAATGGTTTCCTTTCAAAATTGCTTAAAATAATGGATATTTTCCCAGTTAACTCACGGCTTTTTCAGTGGCTGGGAGTTGGCCAATCGGCTGTAGAGCGACATGTAGCTGTAGCGTAGCAATCGATTCAGGATGGCTTCGCCGATCTCGTCGCCGGCAAGGATAGCTGCTCGCCGGCGGAAGAGCAGGCGGCGTACGGTTGGCAGGGCCAGTTGCTCGGTGCGGGTGTGACTCTCCGCCTGGCAGGGATACACCATCTCGATGGACTTGGTGAAGGGACAGGCGCACTTGGGCACGAAACGGCCCACCCGTACCCTGGGCACAGCCATCTCCATTAGCCGACGACGCTTCACGAACATCCGCTGGTGGCGTCGGCAAAGCTTTTCCAGCTCCTTGGAGATGTCGCGCACGAAGGATGTGGCATCGTGGGGAATTGGATCTTGAATGGGACAGCAGTCGGGACGGTAAGAGTCCTTCATGGTGAGAATTTACGAATTTTGGGACTTTACTTTCAAACAATTTACTAAAGTTTTATTTATTTTTTTTTTGGGTTTTTATGAAAACATTTATAGTTGTCTGCTCTGATCGAAAACGAAGTTCATCTGGTGAATTTTTAATTCAATTTGAACGAAATACATACTCTTAAAGGCAAAGCCAACTTTATTTTTTGGAAATGGGAAATGGAAATGGAAATAATAAGAAATTAATTCATTGCCCTGCTGAAGCATCTGTGTAAAATTGAAGATTGCTAGCATCATTCTGGGTGGCTCAACATGTTGCAAGCAACATTTGACTAGCAACATAAGCAATCCGACATTTAAGATAAAATTTTAAAAACTGAACAGAAACTTCCTAAAAATTAGGTAAAAAAAAATTAGGTAAACAATAAAAAAAAACTGAATTTATACTTAATTAAAAATTCACAATCTTTGAATCAATATATAACGATATTTTTATATGAAATTTTATTCGACAAATCAAAGTTTAAAAAACTCGTTAATTTAAATTCAGAAAGCGTTCCGATGCTAGTTTTTCTAGTTTATAAGGTTAATAAATCTGCATACTCCATTTAATTATTTAAATTAAAATTTTTATCAATATTTGACAATTTTAGCGATGTAACCCCTTATACAATTTTGAAAAAATGAAATTATTGTCAGACATAGCCAGACCAACTCGGCTGTTGATGCTGATCAAGAATATATATGATTTATAGGGTCGGCTTCTGATTAAAATTATTGCACACTTGCAAAGGTATAGAAAAAATAAATAAGTAAATAATAGTTCAATTGAAATTTTAATTACTTTTATATTATAAATTGCAACTACTCCTTCCCCCCAGTTAATCTGAAATGAAACTAGTTATTATTTAATGTTTTATTAATGTTTTTATTGACAGTATTCATAAAAATACTGAGAGTATGCTCCAAGTTCACATCATTACAAGTTAATAGTTTTGTTTGGGGTTTTGTATTTCCACTGTCCCATCATCTGCATGTTGTTAATTTCTTCTGTAGTTTGCTTTTCTGACATTATTGTATACACCTGCTATTTTCTGTTCACAAATATACACAAATCTTATATTTTCTTTTTTGCAAATTTTTGCCTGTATCCTTGTATCCTTGTATCTTCCTCAACTGGTCGTCTGCTTTTATACTTTTTTACAATGTTTTTGCCATACATTTGATTTAGTTCGAAATGTTTTGTTTCGTTTTTCTCATCGTGAATTTTTCAACTAGTTCTTATTGTTGTTGTTTTAATTTTTCTTTTTGTTTTTATTGCAATTCAATTGGAATTCCGCACATCAGCACATGTTGTTTGTTGTTGCTCTTTTTATTGGCTTTTAATTTATTCAGTTTGACTTTGATTTTGTTTACGAACAAAATAACTTGGTTAAGTGAAAACAAAGTGGCAAGCATAATGTTAATAATAATTGTTATACACTCACATCGAACTTATGCAATACACTCATACATATACAAATATGTACTATAAATTTGAATTTAGCATTTACTAGGTCATTTGTTTTGTTTGGTTTTTTGTTTATTTGTTGACAAAAATTTTGCTAATTTGAATTTACTTTATTCATGTTGATTTTTTTTTGGGTTTATCATTTCTTCGATTTGTAGAAAATCCCCAATCGATTTTTGTTATTTACACCAAAGTAAAATAATAATTAGATCTATATAAATTAGGGTCTTCTTCAATCATGTTTTTTTTTATATACTGTTTTCGACTTTGCCATCCAAAAATGTATGCATGTTTTTACACTTAATCCAGTTTTTAGTTTAAATTTTTCATCTTGCATATCGTATACAGTTTTGCCTTACAAATAGAATTTCTTTTGTTTTTTTGTTTCAGAAATATCCAAATTACTTTGCCTGAAATATATTTTCTGCTGCTGCCTCGCTCTTAGATAATTTTTGTTCCTTTAGATTTATTTTGTTTTTGACACGCTAAATATATATAATATATATTGCATATAGATTACCAAAAGGGTTGCCTCCTCTTTTATGTACACACACATACAATTTTCCTTTCATATAATTTCGAAAGTTTTCAGAAATTTTTAGTCATGTTTCCATTGTTAATTTTCTTGTCATTTAATTCTGTTTAAGATATGCCTCGAAACTTGTTTTAGCTTTAGTTTTTGTCCATTTTAGTTTTAGATGTTTTTGTTTTTACATTTTAGTTTAATTTACCAGTTGTTTTTTATTTAAATTTTAAATCATTTCTTCTTTAGTTGGTCCCTGAAGCTGTGTTGAGTTTAGATATACGATTCCTTTGGCTCGTCTGAAATAGTTTTTGCCGTTTCTAATAGAGTTTTTTTCCGGGGTTAAAAATGTCGAAAGTGAAGTGAAATGAAAAACCATAATAAACAAATTTATAAACTTGAAATTAAAAAATATCAATTGCCTTTGTTGTTGTTCTGTTGGTGGTTGTTGTTCTTGTTGTTGTTGTTGATAATTGCAATCCAATTGTTTATTTGCTCATCTCTTGCATGTGAAAATGGAGCAAATATTGGCCATGTTAGAAAGATTTTCCCGCCCTCCTATCAAGGCCAATATTTACTTTGGGCTATTGTTCAGTTTATAGATAATTCTGTCATCTGTCAATTATAACTATTGCATATAATGGTATTTAAGTATCTTGTTTTGCAATTGTTAGACTGTTGTGCTTAATTTAATATTCATATTTTGTTTCGTTTCGTTTCTTATTCTCTGCATTGTGTCTGTCTCTGATTTGATTTTGTTTAAATTGTGAAACAAAAGCCTCCAGTGGTAATAAAACGAAATAAAAAGCAAATTGTTGAACTAAAATATTTTTGTTTTTATTAATAAACGTTTCGTAATTCGTAAATATATATATTGTATATATCTTGTTTTTTTTTAATTTATTTATTTAATTTTTTTTGCGTTTAAAACATAATAAGTAAATAATAGGGATAACGAAAATTATAAACTTAAGCTTAGTTATGTGTCGGTGTTTAATATATAATAACAATTATGCACGCTTTACTAAACAAAGAATTTTGCTCTTGCTTTTGCTGCTGTAAATATTAATTTAAGGTTTACAATATATATTTATTACAATTATTTTTGTGTGTAATTGAAAATTAAGCGAAAATTTCGATATTATTATAAATTACTTAATGAAATTAAACATATATATTTTGGATTTATTCGCAGTACAAAATAAATTTCACATGTTTTTGCTGCAGTTTTAAGTTTTTCTTCACTTTCTGTTTTTTTTTTTAAATCTCTGTTTTTCTGTCTTAGCTTTAATGCTAAATACATTTTGTGTACTTATGGGCTATTGCTAATAATAATGCGAATTTTTTTTATTTGCTTATTGGCTTTTGTTGTTTTTTTGTTATTTATTTCTCTTGATTCTGTAGTGATTATGTAAATGCAAAAAAAAAGATCGCTTTATCTGTTCTATTTCTGTGTTTGTAGTTTACCGAAAGTCTAATTTTATGAATTGTACTTACATCAGTTGGTTTTGTTTTGTTTTTTGTTTGTTTTGTAAAAATAATGAAAAATATTCTCAAAACTTTTGCCTGGCTAAGATTTAGGTTTGTTTGTTTGTATTTTTATTTGTTTAGTGGTTGATCTTGCTGTTTATGCCAATTGCTTATAACTATTGAAGTTGTTGGTTTGATTGATTAATTATGAATATTATTTTTCTAGGGCTATTGTTGTTGTTGTTGTAACTGTAACTGTGTGGAGTTGTTGTTTGTTGTTGTATTTAAAGTTAATAATTGAAATAAAAATTGTTTTCGTTTTCATTTTTATATAGAGTTTGTTATTTTTAAAATTGTTTTGCCTTTTGCAGTTCGATTTCGTGCTGCTTCTTTTTTCTGATTCGGGGATTATGATTTCTGATTCTGCTGATTCTGTATCTGTATCTGATCTGTAGCTGTATCTTTATCTGATCTGTATCTGGATTCTATCTTGTCATTGCTAATTATGTGGCTATTGTTTATGGTTATGTGGCTATGAATACAAATCTGTTTTGAAAATCGGCTTCTGTGTTTGTGTTTTTTTATTAAAGTTAATTGCTGTGGCTATTTCTATTTTTATTTGTGGCTATTTAAGTTCTGTAGTAAGAGTAGTACTATTGTTTAATAAAATTGTGGTTGCTGCTTGGTTGTTGTTGTTGGTTGTATTTGTGGGTAGAAAAAAGAAAAGTACAATCGACTTTAGGCTGTTTTGTTTGGATTTTTATATCTGAGCTGCTTCAAGCTTTAGGCTTGAATATTTATCCATCTTTTTATTATATTAATTAATTATATAGTTTATGTTAATTGTTTATTGATGTTTTCAATTTTTAGTTCAATTATTTTTGGGCTATTGTTGTTGGTTGTCTGTGCTGGTCGTTGTCACGTCTGGGCTATTGTTTCTTAGCAGTTTTCGCTTGTTTTTTGCTCGGATCTTTGCTGATCTTAAGTTGTTTCGGTCGCTCAAGTTGAACTTAGGAGAAAAGTTTTGAGTTTTGTGATGTTTCTTTGTTTATTTATTTATTTTTTTCGACAATGAGAATGTGAAGAATTTGGCTTTGAGTTGAAAGGGTTTCGATTTTGTTGATTTCATTTAGATTGAAGCGTGCGCATAATAATTGGAAACCTAGGCGTAGTTTAAGACCTATTTTAAAAAAAGATTTATGTGCACTTAAAATTATTTTTGATTTTCGATTCTTGCTTGATTCATCGTCATATCATCATATCCTTCTTGGCATTTTGGCAAAGAAAGCTTGTAAATTAAACATATTAATCGTTAAATGTTAATATATTTGTTGTTGGTTGCTTGGTTTTGTTTGAAACAATTGCACTATAGTTCAAATGATGTTGCCCATTTAAGAAGTCAATAAAAATAGAGAATAATAATAATGCTAGTAATAATAAGTAATTAGTAATAAAAAAATATATAGAGGAGAATACCATACAAAAAATGTTTTCTAATATGTACAAACCATAGTAAATCGAGGCTAACAACGCGCTAATCAAATAGTCGTTATAATAATAATAATAGAATAATAATTATAAGTAGTTACAACTACAATAATATATATATTTAGTGTGTGTGTGAAAATAGAAGTTGATTGATTGATTTATGTGAAGAAATTTTGGATTTGCCTACAGTTATAGATCGTAACTAATGGTAATCATCATCATTTCGTAATCGTAATCATTTTAGGCGCTAAACTAAGGTCGAAAATAAACACTAATTGTATATGTATATGCACTTATATTCAGCAAATTTTGATTCGCATTGAACAAATTAGATTAGACTGTTTTTTTATACACAAATGTGAGCAATTTCTTTAAGCACGCTAGAAACTCTCTCTCTTTCTGTCTCAGTTATCTCAAACCACTTTAAACAATTATATTATTAATATATCAATTTTAGCTTGTTTCGTTTATCGTTTTTGTTTTCTTGTTTTGTTTTTATTTTTTACAAATATTAACTATTATGTTGTAGTAAAACAAAGAATAAGTAATGTATGGGTAATCAATCTTGTTTCTCTCCGAAAAAATAAAACACGTACCTGAGCGTTTTCACATGCTCACCTTGAATCGAATTCGAAATATTGAAAGTATTCCAAAAATTCTCAAATCAGGTGAACATGCAAAAATTCTATACAATTCAACATTCTCAAGCTGTTACTCAAATTACACTCGATTGGTTTGTTTTCATTCATTTTTTTTTCATATTTGTGTTTAGACCTACCACTAGGTTGACATTTCGACTTTCGACTTTTGCAGTTACTATCTGGTTTTTATTTATATAGCTTATGGCCATGTTTTGTGAGTATTTTCCTATAAGGAAAATCTATATAGCCACAAAGGCCCCTTTCCTCAGTACAGTGCGTTTCAGATCCTGTGAAACAATAGAGAGTTGCGAATAGTTCAAGACAAAGACTGTAAAAAATTAAGCTTTGCTTGGTGTCTATTGCATGTCTTTTAGTTGAGAAACGCACTGTACTTCCGGGAAGTTGGTTTTTTGCTGTCTGTTTTTTGTTTCGTTTTGTTTCTTGTCATTATCAGTTGCCTTGGAATTCTTTTCTTTTCTTTATTTTTTTTAGCTAAACATGCTTCGAAATATTCTTCTCACTTTTAACACACCTCTTTTCTGGTTTTTATAACGTTTTCTTAAATTTGCTTATTTAATCCGTATAATTGCACTTTATCTTGTTTATTATTTTAAGTTTTTGATTTTTTGTTTACCGGTTTCTTTTTACATCGATATTTTTGCCTTAGTTTCATTAAATGTTTTTTGCAAAATTGTATTTTAGTATTTATAATTTCCTCTTGTATAATTTTGCATTATAAAAGACTGTTTCTGTATTTAATTTTGACTTGAACTGGTTAGTTTTCGAGTAAACATTATTCCAAAATATATACAACTATTTATGTTCTGAACAGTTTTTCATCCGTTGCTGTTTTGTTTTTTAGTGATGTTTTTGCCGTAGCTTAAGAAATTCTTTTTGGGCCAAACGCAGCTTTGGGGGATTCCCCGCTGCAAGTTGGCTTAAATAGCTTGTGCTTGGTTTTAGTTTTGGTTTCTCTGCTGTTGTTGTTGATGTGATTGATTTTTGTATCCGATCTGTCTACAATTTCCCGAATGGGTGTGTGTTCATCGCTCCTTTCTCTGTTTTTTTTTTTATTTGTTTGTTTGTTTTGTTTTTTGTCTTTTTGCATATGCGCCTAGCCAACATTATTTCAGAAAATGCTCTTCAAAATTTTGGATTATTAATCACAGATAGTGTGTCTAATATATATGTATGTATATAATAAATATGTATGTATACTTCAAATATAATTAAATTAGCAATAAATACTTTTTTTGATTTATTTCCTTTCCTACTTTCCTGCTTCTTCTCATTTTTCTTTTATATAATAAACAGTTTTATTTCAGAATTCCTTTTTCTGTATTCATTTTTTCTTACTTTTGTTTGTTATTCCAAATGCATAATTTAATAATTTTTATTTTTTTTACAGCTTTTAGTTCCTAACTTTTAATTTAGTTTTCCGCTTGATTTTTGATACTAAACCACAACATTTATGCACATCGAATTTAATTTGGGAGTTAAGCCAATAAATTGTTTTTTTCTTATCCATTTTTGTTTGCATCGTGGAAAGTATAATAATATTTAATTTTGTTGAATATTAAAATGCCCTTAAATGATTTTCAACGATTTTCCACAATTATACCTTGCCATACTTTTGGATTTTCATCATCTTGTATTATAATTTACTAAATATTTTCAAATATGTATTACCGACAATTCTTCCTTGTTTTCATTTTCTTTAAATATATTGTATATCGCTTTTGTATGATTTTTGTTTTTTTCTTTTTTTTTTGACACTTACTAGCTAGCACACAAAATATGTTTTTAGGTACATTTATATATTTTTCTTCATCTATTTTTCATTTACGCAGACATTTAGTTAGTTGTTGTTCTTGTTTACCCATAGATAGAATTTCAAATTCAAACGAAATATATATAGAGTTATAGAGATACGTCGAAAGGAGGGCCAAAAGTTCAGGGTTCAAAGGGCGGGATGGGTTGAGGGGGCTGTGTAAATATGTTTTTTTTTTGCTCTCCTGTAAAAGAGGTGTGTGTGTTTGTAGAGTGTATATAAGTACATTTAAATATATTTAGTTTGCTCAAAATGATCATGTGTTTGGTTTGAGGTATACGCGTAGTGATGAAGACACACACATACATAAATATACAAATATATATATATATATATCATATAGTATATAGTAATATAAAGTCTTTGTTTTTATATATTTATGCTTTTCTTTTTTTTGCTTTTGGTGGACTGTACATGAAATGTGTGTTCTCACAATAATTTTTAATTTTACTTTTTAAGCCAATATCGTGAAATTTTGTTTAATTTTTCGATATCAATTTTTAATTTTAGTCTAAACACATTTTTTTTTGGAAATTTTATCCTTTTTTTTTGTATATAAACACCGAAACACTTTATAATTTTGCTTAATTTAGTTCAATATGTGTACAAATTTTTTGTAAAAAGAAAATAAAAATGGTTTGTGATTTTATGGAAAGCAATGTTTTATGTTTTTTACTTTTTAATTTTGATAAACAAATTTAAATGGGAGGATTTGCTTTTGAAATTTTGTGTGTTTGATCTGCGGTTTTGGGTTTGCTTTTTCTTTCTTGTTAATTATTATTTTGTGTGCTTTCGTCCTAACGTTTCATTCTCTTTCGCTTTGCTTACTAATTTATTTAATTTGTAAATGTGAAGGCAGCTTTGTTTATTGATTTCCGTTTTTTGTTTTCATTTACTCGTTTCTCTTTTTTGTTTGTTGTATTTTTTTTATCATCTTTTGTGAAATCATAATAAAATGTAGAATTTTTGTGGTTAATTTTCTTTAAGTTTTTTTTGAATTTAGCTATTTCTTTTGTGTGTGTGGTGTGGTGTTACTTCTTTTGTTGTTGTAGAGTCTCTTGTTTTGTTATTATTATTATTGCTGTTTGCTGGTTGTTGTTGTTGTTATTGATCGGATATTGTAGATGTTGTTGTTGTTGCTGTTGTTGTTGTCATTATGGTCTTGTTGTAGTTATTGTAGTTTGTTGGCTATATTACTCATTCTGTCTATGTCAAGGACATCTGCATGCGTTCTCTTGGCTGGCAATATTCGTAGAAAATTGTAGAAAAACTACAGATATATATATTTATAATATATATATATATATATATATATATATATGGAACATAAGTACATATTTGCTTATGGAATGTGTGAAAGTCGAAGGTCAAAGGCCAAAAGACACTGGCATGCAGACGTCATTTAAGTTGTTGTTGGCTTGTTGTAACTGCTTTTGCTGTTGGCTTTATATTTCTGCTATTTATATATCCCATTGGACTGCTGGATCTGCTCAATAAAAATATATATTTAAGATATGGAAGCCTGAAGAGATTTCACATCTCTTGAAAAGTAAGCACAAAAGTATGCTATAGAATGTTTTTGTTGGTGTATTAAATCTTATAGCTTACTTTGGTGTACTTTTTTCAAGGGATTTTATATCAGGGTTGCCGCAAATAGTGCTTTGGATTTAAGATTCTTTTAAAAGATTACGCAAAAGTAACTACTTTTAATAAGATATCCAATCCTGAGCAACTTCTGTGGCACTCTTAACACATTATATCTTCTTTCAGGACATCCATTTAAATCAAAAATTTCAATTTAAAGCAAAAAATGGAAAATGAAAATGGTTCTTGGTTTTTTGCTCAGTTGTTGTTGCCTTTTGTTTTTGGTCTTAAGGTTTTAGTTTTGTTTTTCTTATTTTTGTTTTTTGTTTTAGGTTTGTACAAGAGAATGCCTATTTGTCGATTGTCAAAACGAAACAAAAATATACATATTGCATGTATGTTTCTTTGTTTGTTTGTTGGTTGTTTTTTTTTTGTTTTTTTGTATTATGTAGTTGATTACACATTAACTAAGAGCTAGCGCACATTTACCACTCTTTGCGTTTATATATATATATATCCTATATATATATATATTTCCGTATAGTGCTTTGTATGGTACTATCAAAAAACGTGGCTTAATTTGGTTTAGTCCCCTTCAATCCCCCCCTCATACCAATACCGGTCTTAGATACCGCCTCCGATCCCCCTAGAAGCTGTAGTAGTGGGCGGCCAGCGGTGGCCAGGCGAAAGCTGGATGATTCGTGGCCAACGGTGGTGGTGGTGGTGGTGGCGGTGGCTGCTCCTATAACTGCTGCTGATGCTCCACCTGCTCGGCCTTGATCTGGGCCAGCTTCTCGTGCAGTATGGGACTGCCCGAGGGGCCCATTTCCTCTGCCTCGGATTCGCACTTGATGCGACTGCCATTGAGATCCATTGTTTTGTGGTTTTGGTGATGGTGGTGGTGCTGCTGCTGGTGGTGGCCGCTTTCCGCGCTCTTTAGGCTGCTGGCATCCGTTTCCGAATCACGTGATGTCATCCTGCTGCTTCTACCATTACCATTGGCGGTCACATTGAGCTGACCATTGCCACTGGCTGTGAAGGAGGATGAGGAGGCGCTGCTCTTGTTCTTGTTGTGCGCCAGATCACTGTTGTTATTATTGGCCGGTGTGTGTCTACTGGAGTGCTCCTCATCGCTGCTCCCGCCGCTATCAGCACTGAGGCGTTCCCTCTTGATATCCGCATAGTTTCCCAACGGACTGCCCGATCTCTTGACACTCTCCGCACTGGCACTGGAACAGGTGGCGGCATAATCATTACTCCTTTGATTCGTAAACGGCAGAGGGGTCTTCTTCACTAGGAGTTGATCGAGCAGGGCATGACCATGACCATTCCCATTGCTACTACCATTGCCGGCCGAACTGCCATTTCCCGTGGAGGATGACTCACTCGATTGCAGTGTCTTGCGGATGATGCCATCATACATATTCTCCGCCATCTCCAGGGCACTCTTCATCGGTCCATGGTGATTTCCACCTGCTCCCTGTGTTGGCTGTTGCCTCATTGCCTCCGCCATCCGATTAAAGTCCAGGCCATAGGCATTCGTGGCATTTGGTTGTGGCCAGAACATGTTCGATTGGAACGGAAGCTGGTGTGGGGCACCCTCGAAGAGGGGCAGTTTCAACCCATTGGGCGTGGCAGCCGCAGCAGCTGCTGCAGCCGCTGCCGCCGCTGCTGCTGCCGCCGGGCTGTTGTTCTTGAGGGCATTGCTCAGCTTGGAGCCACTGTGATTGCCCGGCTTCAGTTTGTCCAGGTGGATCTTGTTGGCGGGTCCCGTCAGACCCACCAGATCCGGCTGTGGCTTGGGCTCTCGCTTGCGCGGTCTCATCAGGTGACGCTCCTTGACCTTGTACTCCAGCGTGGAATGGGGCACACCATAGTAGCTGCCCGCTCGATGGACTGACATTTCACCTCTCTGAACAGCCTTCACTGCCTCCACCAGACTGTCACGATCATAGTTCCTGTATTTACCTCTCTTGGGCCGAGTCCCCTTGCCCGCATCCTGGGCATTGAGCTGCTGCTGCTGGTGGTGGCTGAGGTGACCGGGATGATGATGCTGCTGCGACAGGAGATTGGGTGAGGCCCCGAAATGCGAGGTATCCGTGCCGCCGATAATCTTGGCCACCGATATGCTGGGCTTCTTGTAGCCCATCGATGAGGAGGAGCCACCGCCACCATTGTTGCTACTACAATCGCTGACATTGCCATTCCTCAGTACATCCTGGCTACTCTGCTCGTTGATCTGTCGCTGGATATTGCTGGCCATCATCTTCTGTATGCTGGACGAGGATGAGGGTAGCAAACTGTTGCCAGAGGAGTAGCCTCCCTGGGCCACTGCAGCGGCCAGCATGGGGGAGGCGGAGTGGGGACTGCGATTGCTGCCATTCCGGTTGCTGCTGCAGTTGCTGTTATTGTTGTTATTATGATGAACCAGACCCGGTGAGAGGCTGCTGCTGCTGCTGGCCGGGCCGCTGACCTTGAAGGACGGAATCTTCAATATGGGATCCTCGCCCGCCTCATTCAGATCCAGCGAGGAGTTTGTCTCCGGTGTCTCCGATTTGGGCAGGCGATGGCGAAAGGCGGCGGCCACATGTTGCTGCTGCTGCTGCTGTTGCTGCTGTTGCTGCTGCTGCTGTTGGAGCAGCAATGAGGCATTGCCATTGCTCTCCTGATTGCCCACCAAGAGACTGAGCAACGGCTCGGTCAACATCCCTCGACCCAGCACCTTGAACAGGTCACCCACCGTCTGCGATTCGTCCAGCTTGGGCATGGCCCCGATCCCGGCGGCCAGCATGAGGGTGTGCATCAGGACATTGGCATCCAGCGGTATGGCGGGTAAGCCATCGGAAGTACCACCGGCGACACTGTGCCCACCCGGTAGCCTTCCCAGCTTGGGAGAGCCTCCCCGATCAAGGTCATCACCCAGATCGCTGCCATTGTGCTCGGACGACAGGTGACTGAGTTCATTGGAGTCCTCATTGGAGTCCTCGGCATCGGGCTCTTGGTGATCCAATTGCTCCTGGTCACTGTCCTGCTGCTGAATCTTATACAGCCGATTGACCAGAATAGAGCGGGGCACATTGTGCTGACTGGCAGCCTTGCGAGTGCCCAGCTTATTGGCCACCACATCCTGCAGGGCCCGGTTCAGGTCCTCCTCGCTGTACGACCGTCTACCCGTGGGCGTTGGTGTGACACAGGCTCTGTGAAAGAGTTAAGTTAAAAATATAAGTTTAACATCTATATATATAAATTAAATTCCTTAACAAAGCTGCTTACAAATCAAACTTCTTATCGTTGTAACTATAGAATAAGTCACTACAAGTTGGCCTGAAACCAAATCTATAACAAATAATGATTGGTTTATGGCCAGTTTATGAACGTCATTGCCTTATGGCCCTCAGGTGCGGCGATAAGATACGTTTTCCGCCGATTTCTGTTTGCCTTTTCCCTAAATATATATCATCTCTCTCTCTCTCTTTCCCCCTGGAGCAAGTCAATCAACTTTTATCTGCCGGCAATTTTCATTCCCGGGCTTGCAGGGTAATATTTTTTGGCAGCACCATCAAAGGACTTGACAGCCACTTCTTCCCATCTTGGCTTAGTGGAAAGCACTCCTTTTTTTCGGCACTCACATACATACATATACATATACACAGGCACTCAGGAGGACCGACAATGAGTGCTCCTTAAATGTCTGCAGCAGGGCAACCAACAGGAAAAGACGACACTGCAGTGTCAAAGGCAAAGCCAAGGATGCTATACAATCTCTTCTCTTACCACGTTCTTTTTTTTCGTTCAACATTTTTTGGTGGCCATTTTTTTTTGGGTGCTGAGCCAGAGACAAAAGATGACAAGTCAGGGGGGAGTCTGGACCAGAAGGGGTGCGAGTATGGGGCCAAATATGTTTTTGAAGTTCATTAGACGAATCCGAAAAAAAAGCGTAGGGAAAAAATGGCAGAACGAATGAACATTTTTCACTTAATGCTAACGCGAGCGTGAGTCCAAGCGCATTTCCTTGTGACTTTCCCCCTCTTGGAACTCATCAGGAAAAGGCAACTTTTGTGTTCCGACAACAACAACAAGGTTACACGGGGAAAGAAATTATGGTATTTAATAAATTAATTATTAAAATATATTTGTATTGTATACTATTTTTAGTATTTAAAATGCTCTTGAAAATGAACAACATGTTTCTGGAAACATTTTTATAAGAATGTTACATTTACACCATGTTAAATTTATTGAAATGTACCAGAAGTTTCGTAAAAAAGAAAATAATTTAATAATTTTTTTTTAAGATTTGATTTTTCAAAAAATATTATCATATATAAATATCTATAAATACCTATTCAAGGAATGTCAATATTTCAAGCTTAGTTATGATTGGTTTCCGATTCGATTCTATAATTCTCTCTGAAATTTAACTCTATCATTTCTTTTAATATAATTTTATAGTAAACAACTTTTGTATAATTTAATCACTTAAAGAAACCTAAAGAATGTATTTCTTTTCAAATTTCCCAGTGTTAAAATGACAAATTTTTTCTCAAAACCAATCTTTAGCTTTTAATTTTTCCGAGTGCTGCAGCCGAACGAAATATTTCTTTTCTTTTATGCGCAACCAGAAACGAGACGAGCTCGAGACCCTTTCTTTTTTCGTGGGCGGCTGGGGACATTGCACCGTCGAAAAGGGGGGCGGGAGGGTGGTGTGTGTGCGGGAGGGTGGTGTGTGTGTGGGAGGCTGAGGGGGAGGGAAAACGCACAGCTTCTTTGGCGCCCTTCGCTGAGGGCTGTGGCACAGCGGGCGGCGGCGACGACGGCGACGGCCCTGGCAAAAGTTGATGGCAAAGTCATAGCAACTTTTTTACTTTTTGTTTTTTTCGCCCATTTGTTACGGAGTCCTTGCGCGTCTGGAAAATGTCTGAAAATTGTGCAGACAACAAATAAAAAAAAAGGGAGAAAAAATATACACAAAAATGCAGGCTAGAGGAAGAACAAGAAAAGCGGCAGCAGGTGGCAGTGAATGTTAAACTGTATGATAGCTCAAGGTTTTTTTATATTTTTATTTTTTCGGGAGCTCTTCTTCAGCTACGGGGGCGGTGCGAGAAGGGGCGTGGCCTTTGCTGACCGTAAGTGGATTGGACTGAGGGCGGTGATGGGCGGGCCACGTCATTAATGGCGACAGTTTTTCGCATTTTTGCTCATTTTGCATATACAAAATAATTTCCCCAAAAAAAAAACAAGCAGGCAAAGGAGGAGAGGCGAACAAAATTTGCATAATTGCAGGGGGATTTCCTCACCAAGACCTCGTTGCAGATGCAGTATCAAAAAAAAGAGAGGAAAAACAGGGAAGAGCACTACAAAAGAGTGGCAAGACTATAAGATACCCAGGTTAATAAGTAGAGCTCTCAACAACAAATTTTGTAGCATACATAAAAGGGCTAGTTTTTGGCGGAAATAGGAATATTAAAAGAGAAGTTGGCTGTAATGTACCGAAAAGTATAAACCATTCAATTTTTAATATATCAAATTTGAAATATTTAAATATATAAAATTGGATTTTTAAATTTCCATATTAAAGATATTAAAGAAATTGTAAATAAACGTAAAACCATCTTAAAAACTCACTTTATTGCTCATATTAATATTAAAAATCTTGTACACTTAATAAATAATGAAAATATGGATGTCATAAATATATATCTCTGCTTTAATAACTCCCCAAATCAAATTGTTTTCCCAATTTACCGGACAAACTGACGGACAAGCGGATACACCAACAAAAGGACCCTTGATAATGTGATAAAAACATCATTAATACAACTTGTAGGCTTTTTTTTTGTATATCCGTTCCACAAATACAATATACCTTTTGCGTACAGGAGGTACCTTTATGAGCAGGAAAAAAAGGATGTCGCGCACAAAATAAATGAAAAATGTCATTTCAATGTCGTTTGGATTTTTTCGTTGGTGTCGTTTACCTTTTGGCTGCACTTCAATTGCAATTTGCCATTGCAACAGCTGCCTCTGCTGCAGTCGCTGCCTCTGCCACAGTCGACGTTGCAGTCAGCAGAGGCTGCAACATGGATGCATTTTTTTTTGTTGCCGCCTTTGTTGTTGCTGTTTTTTGTTGTAGTTGCCGCTGCACACGCATGTGAAGAGCATTCATTTGCACCCAAAAAATAAGGAGAGGAAAAAAAAAAATGGAAATTCAGAGCGAACGAACGAACCTCAAACCTTTTGCCAGCATTTTTTTCCTCGTTTTCCGTTGGCGTTGCAATTTTTCTGACATTTTGTTTTAATTTGTGGCAGCGGCAAAAGGGTTGATTTTTTGTGTTTTTTTTATTCGCTTCTCTGTGTGTGTGTTGTGCGTGTGTGCATTTGTTGTTGTTGTTGCAATTTTGACGCAACTGAAATGCATTTCTTTTTTTGTTGTTGCACTCGCTGTTGTTGTTTTTATGCGCATATTGCATTTTTGTCGGTTCATCCCACACCTTTTGTTTGCTTTTGGTCACATATATAAAAATATATAAATATATATATATTCATATATATATACTTATATATATAAGCCCCATCTCCCATAATTTTTCAGCTCAACAACAAAAAAAAAAACGCACCATTTCGATTTCAACTTTAATAATAATTATATTTGGCCAGGTAATTGTGCAATACCTTGATTGAGGTGTGCGGTTGCAAGGCAGAGGTCAAGCCAACTGTCAGGCAAAATTGAGGTAGAAAATAATTGTTGGGGAGAGGTTCCAATTAATTACAGAGAACTCAGGTGATGGATTCTAGTCATTTTTGTGCTTTAATTATTGAAAAATTTGAATGCAATTTTCCTTTATATTCTTAAACAAATGATTAAAGGCTTTTGTATTTCATACTGGTTAATTTGGAACATGGTAATTCATAGGGACTGAGTGGTACCAATAAACTTGACTTTGTAAAGGATGTATATATATTTAAAAATATATAAATATATATGAAATATACAAAATTTGAGTAGACTTTGCTAATAGGCATAGAAGTTATCAAAGAAACAAGAAAAGAAACTAACTACTGGATGAGAAATATAAGTTAAGATCAAATTGAAAATAAACTGGGATAACTGCCAGAAGAAATGGTTGTTAAATGTAAAGGATCAGTAAGTAACAATAATCAGTAAGTACCTATGAACAGTAAGTATCTATTACCAGTAGGTAACTATGATCAGTAATTAAATATTGTTATTAAGTATCTATGGCCAGTAAGTATCTATCACCAGTAAGTCTATATGAACACTAATAAACAATGACTTGCAACTTTTGTAACACAACACATTTCTGAGACCTGGCCGGCAGAAGTCACTTCGTTCCGGAGATGTTAGAACCAGTTGAGAATCATAAGCTCAGATGTGCGAGATTTGTTTTGGAACAAATTTAAGCTATTTGAAGGAAACTATGAGTTATTCTTCTACATATATAACTTTACTTTTATATACGTCGGAGCATGGCGAATCGGTGGACTATATATACACATATATAGCTGTCATAGGAACGATCGGAAAATTGACTGTGAGCATTAATTAAGTATAAGCACTAAGTAACTCTAAACAGTAAGTATCTATGGACAGTGAGTAACAACGATCAGTAAGTATCTATGACCAGTAATTAAGTATGACCAGTAAGTAACTCTAAACAATAAGTATCAATGACCAGTAAGTATGTCTGATCTGTAAGTATCTATAACTAGTAAGTATGTATGATCAGTTATTAACTTTGAACACTAATAAACAATGACTTGCAACTTTTGTAACACAACACATTTCTGAGAGTTGGCCGGCAGAAGTCACTTCGTTCCGGGGATGTTAGAACCAGTTGGGAATCATATGCACAGATGTGCGATAGTTTTTTTGTTATTATTCTTATATAATTCTTCATATATATAATTTTACTGGTATATAAATCAGAGCATGGCGAATAGTTGGACTATATATATGCATATGGTGTATATAGCTGCCATCGGTACGATCAGTAAATTACTATTATAATTATAATTAACTATGAGCCGTAAGTAACTATGTCCAGTAAGTAACTCAAAACAGTGAGAACCTATGAGTAACTATGAACATTAATTAACTATGATCAGTAAGTATGTATGAGCAGTAAGTAACTCTGAAGAGGAAGTATCTATGACCAGTAAGTAACTATGAGCAGTA